TTTCATCACTAACTTTTTTACTTTCCTACCTATACTAGGTAAGGAAAGTATTGCGATCGGTTAAAATTTCCGATATGTGGTTTTCGACGGTTCTATACGTTTCAGAGCCCCCTGAGTTAGAAAAACGCATTTTTAGCCACTAGTCTGTGTAAAGAAAAATATGTTTCTCTATAGACTGAAAAAACGGCTCTAACGATTTTGATGAAACTTTCCTATAATGTTCTAATAATCGTCTAATTTCTAATGTTCTAATTACAACGTTTTTTTGAAAGGTGATGAAATTCCCTACAAAACTATATAAAAATCGTTAATTTCCGAGGAATATTAACGAAGTTACAGCTATTCCAATGTAAGATTAAGGCTACATATCATGGTGTTAGAAAGGGATGAATGAGAGAAAAAAGATAAATAAGTGTCTTTGTTATAAATATTATTTGGCTAACCATTGTATACCTTCAATCAAACTATGATATATTTATATTGATTGGCATCTCTTGCTTATGTTCATTTCATTACTAGCCAATAGTCACAATTCTGTAGCTGTTAGAAACAACACAAATCTTGTACACATCTTGAACATTTAGTCAGCAAATTATTTACATTCTACAAACATATATGTTACATCCCTTCCCCTTTGACTATGTTTACCTATCTTTTGCTATCTGGAAAAGGACAACTGGGAAATCCTACCCCGACCCTTTCACTCACCTACCAAATGTGTCAGTACTTAAATACTTCCAGTACTCGAACCACGGTTAGTAAGAGAAAATTTTATAAATAGATTATATTCAGTATTTTAATTTTTAGTTTGTATAACTGTTATATATTTCATTTATAATATCGTGTATTGTAATATTAGTTAAGATTCACGTACTATCAATCACTATAGTTTATTATTAACCATTATTGGTCGTACAATATTATATCTCTGATTGTATTTAAAAATTTTCAGCCCTGATGATGTTTGGGTTGAAATGTCGTCACTAATAAAAACTTTATAATGACTACATTCTGAATATTTATCACCCATTATATGTAGAACAGTCGACTTGTTACGACTTGTTGGTCTTTAATTTGGGAAAAATCGTTTCCGCAAAAAATTTGCCAGATGCTCAGTGGAGACGGCAGGGTTCGCAAAAAAAAAATAATCAAGAGTCAATTAAATATTAAAAACTATCTAACAGGCACTACGGTATTAAATTTGTTGAATTTGAAAAATAGCGACAACCATAAAAAATAAATTAATTTAATTTAAAAAGATTTGGACGCGGAGTGAGCTACGAACTCGGAACCTGGGTTTAAAAACATATGTTAATTAAACTCATAACCTATCGAACCTTCTTACTTGGTTAATAATCACTTTCCCTAATCCCTCGAATAGGGTTTTACAATTCATTATTAAACCTTAAAAAAGAAGAATATAATATATACATAAAACGTGAAAACAAACAGACGAAAAAGTAGAAAATAAAACTGGCTATTATTAATAATAATGATGAATTTACTTATTTCTAATGATTTAAATAACTGTTAAAGGAAATGAAAATTATGAACAAAAAGTTAGATTTATAAGAAAACAGAGAAAATACTATTAACTTTAATTATCAAAGAAAAGAATATAAAATTATTATTATGGAACTAAACATTAACCTACAACTATACAATATGCCAATTACAAACATTTGAAAAAAATAGATAGGAAATAAAAACATATATATAATTATTTACAAAATCTCAATGGCGAACTTTGTCCAATTGGCACATTGAGTAATCTGAGGAACTTATAGGAACGTCGTCAGGGTCTCCCCAGTCCACCTCTTTAAACTTAGAAAATGTTCATTCACCAACTTGTAAAATCATTCGGCAATCGTCGCTGATAATCACAGGTTCTTGGATAGGAAAAGAAAAATCCGGTGTACACCGTAAAACTAAAGTATTTCACACAGAAAAATCCTTAGCGTGCCTCAATACTCGCGAGGTTCCACCATCTATCTATCAATTGTCTTTTGTTTTTCCTCCCAATGTTGGTTATTCCAATAGGAAATAAAATGAATAATTAAAACTAAGACTTATTATGAAATGAAATGAAAATAGCCTTTATTTATGCACTAATATTACAATTTCAAAAGTAAACAAAACAAAATAAAACAATTTTTTTTTTACATTATAATTTATACAAAACTTTTTACTATCTTGCATAGGCCTTCCCTTAGGAGTAATAGTCTTTAACACTTCCCTGGGTGACTAGCCCTACTGGGAAGCGGGATTTCTGACCTTTAACAATTTTTCTTTCCACACATCTCTGTCCCTAGCTGCTCTCCACCAGAGAGGTCCTGCCAAAAGCCTAAATGGATCTCTCCATCTCTTCATTTGTCGGCCTCTCATCCATTTCCGGTCATATGGAGTCCAGGAGATGTCCAGCCCATTTCCATTTGCCTTTTCTTATTTGCAAGGGTGTGTCTTTGAGCCCTGTTTCTTCTTTTATCTTCTTGCATCTGATTTGATCCATCTTTTTTACTTCATAATGCTTCTTTCGATGCTATTTTGCCACACCATGATCTTCCTTTCTTTGACTTTTGTCAATGACCATGTTTGGGAGCCATAGATCACCACTGGCATAATACATCCATCGAAAACTAGCCTTTTTAGGTCGATACTTATGTTTCCTTTTGTTATGTACTTCAGAGATCAGGACTTGTTCCAACCAAATGCTGTTCTTCTCTGGACTTCTTTTGTAACTCTGTCTGAAAATGAAACTAACTGTCCTAAGTAAACATATTCCTCTACGTATTCCAGGGTGAAGTTGTTCATTTTTATTTATTCCTTTGAACTAAGACTTATTATAAACTAATACTTATTATTAAAACTAATACTAATTACTTAATCTTTTCTAATCCTCTTCGAGGTAATAACAAAACATTACGAACTAATTTTGGTTTATTATTTTCAATAATGAAACATTGTGATCGACCAAAAAATTAAAAAACATAACCCCCTCTCAAAATTTGAGGTTTCACGTTTCAAGATGCGTAGAATTCGAAAAACGAATAAAAATTTTTTTGTCCGTCCGCCGTCCGCGCATTTTCTCCGAAACTACTCGACCGATTTTTTTTCAAATTTTGATATAAAATCAGAGGTCACCCGAGGATGATCCTCCTTCATCGACATTACTCTCCGCCTTTAACTTTCAAAATGGTGGCCGAAAAACCTGCGTTGCTATAGAATGTAGCTCCTAAAAGAATGTACAGATTACAATGAAACTTCGCTAAAGTCATTTTCTCGACGCCCTTTAAATTTATCTATATAACATACTTCGAAAAGAAGCTGGAAAAAAAGTTACGAGGGATGGTAAAATTAAATTCCGAATAACTCGAAAAGTTATTACTTTTTTATTGATATTGTATTTAGTTTTTTTAAAACTTTATGAAATTTCCTAAAAAACAAAAAAAAATTGTTAAAATCGGACAATTAGGAGCAAAGATATGATCTCCGGTTTTTTTTTTTTATGTATTCTACTCCAAATGTTATATCCTTGGTTTGGTTTTTAAATTTTAAATGTGTTACTGAACTAATGCTATATTTTTTTAGCATATTACTAATGATTAAAGAAAAACAGTTTAGTCCAATAATTGGAATCACCTTTTGTTTTTGTTTTTTTCTTTGTAACTCGGAAGGTAATGTTACTTTAGATGCAAACTCCTACCCAGTTGAAGCCGGTGTTCCTCGAGGTAGCGTCTTGGGCCCCGTCCTTTATATCCTTTTTACCGCTGATATCCCTGTCCATCCCAATACCTTCCTGGCAACATTTGCTGATGACACCGCCATCCTATCATCCAACTCAGATCCCGAAATAGCATCTTTAAATCTTCAAAGGCACCTCTCCATGATTGAGCACTGGTGTAATAAATGGTGCATCAAAGTAATCAATCCAAATGCAAACACATTACCTTCACACTCCGCCGCAGTTCCTGTCCATCAGTCCACTTTAATTCCATCCAGCTTCCTTTTTTAGACACAGTCCGGTATCTTGGCTTTATCTTAGACCGAAGACTAACGTGGAACCCACATACTAGACGTAAAAGACAAGAACTTAACCGATGATACGGCCAATTATACACACTACTGACCAGAAAATCATTGACAACAAATTACTGATCTAAAAGACAATCCTGAAATCCATTTGGACCTACGGACTTGAACTCCGGGGGACATCAAAATTCTCTAACATCAAACGCATCCAATCCTTTCAATCCAAAGTCTTCCTAACCATAGTCGATGCTCCATTCTATGTAACCAAAAATCCCTACATCATGACCTTAATATCCCATTTGTCCTTGACCTTATCCCTGAAAAATTTTCAAAATTCCATCAGAACCTTATCAATCATCCAAATCCCCTAGCACAATCCCTATCTAGTTCCACTCATCCCTACAACCCTCCTCGAAGGTTGAAGCGGCAGTGGCCCAGAGATCTTTTATAGTATTTATTTTGGAGTTCTGGCAATGGCCAGATTCTCCACTCAAGACATGAGTGTATGTGGCTAAAGCGCTCTCGTTCAAACTCCACCGGCTTTAGCACCGGTGATGCGGTTGAGAGAGTAGCGCAGGGATTTGAGTTCCCCGCCTGATTGTGTATATTGTATATAGGTATAACTGTATTTTAGTGTTTTTAATTTACTTATATTTAGGTTATTTTATTTTTTTATTGTATATAGTATATTTTATATTTATTATTATTTAGTTATTATTTTACTTTTGTTAATTTTTTTTTTTTTTTTTTGTATATACGGTGTGAATGTGTTCATTTATCAATATAATTATTGTCCCCGTGACAGAATATTATATGTCTAAATAAATAAATAAAAAACTTTAGATGTATAATTGTTTGGAGATAATAAACCATTGTGAAATAATTTGCAGCGTTTTTTGTTTGTATTATATTTTTCGTCACAGACTAAATTCCTTAAGTAATACTTTTTTTTTAAGTTGCTTTTGCTTTAGGTGGTGGTGAACTTCTCCCGGTACCCCATCAAGTCGAACCGGACGATGTCCCCTTGCGACGAAGGGTACGTCTACATCCCGGTGGCCTTCATGGCGATGCTTTACCTCATCTACCTGGTGGAGTGCTGGCACTGCACTGCCCGGATAGAGCTCGGCTACAGGGTGGGGGTGGACACCGTGCTGCAGAAGGTGGAAGCCATGAAGGAAGCCCAGCCTATAATCTGGTCAGTTGTCGAGTTTTTATTATATTATATCTCTTTATTTGTAATTAGTATTAAAAGATTTGGCAGCAGCTAAACTGGAAAATGGGGCCAGGGGTACTTCAAAATCGAAGTACAAATCTTTCCCCGGTGAGTTTCCTCAAAGGTGGGGAAATTCGAGTAAAATTAAATGTTGGGAAAGAAGGAAAAAATAAAAAGAGTAAAATGAGACCTGTAAAACATAAAAAATTTGCATGCACAAGAAAATATTAAAAAATAAAATATTTCAATACATAAAAAATGGAAAATAAAAAATCCCCTTTTGAACGTTTACAATTTATTGAATAAAAAAGATCTAATTAAGTACAAAAGTTAAAATAAATATTGGTGTAAAGTTGCGAGAAAATAAAACATAAATATAATATGCAGATTACCTAGGACTCCATCTGGACAAACGTCTAACTTGGAATCCTCATACCAGACTGATACGACAAGAAACAGCTCGACGTTTCCGACTACTTCAACACTTACTAGACAAACGCTCTAACCTTCCAATCAATTATAAAAGACTCATTTACATGACTATAATAAGACCTATTTGGACTTACGGAGTTGAGCTATGGGGCTCCACCAAACCTTCGAATTCCTCTCGCATCTAATCCTTACAATCCAAAATCCTTCGTAAAATCCTCAATGCTCCTTACTTTGTTACAAATAAAATTATCCATAATGACCTTAATGTTCCTTATGTATCAGATTTGGCCGGATCCAGATATCTCTCCTTCCATAATAAACTTCATAACCATCCCAACCCTCTTGTTTCTAACCTTGCTTCCTATTCAATTCCTGATAAACCTCCGAGGCGTCTGAAAAGAAAATGGCCACGTAATCTTCTAATATAGACATATTATTAGAGTGCTACCAATGGGTAGTTTCTCAACATGTGTTCCATGTCATTATATCCATGTTCAAATTTACCAGATGTATTTTTTGTATACAGTTGTAAATATCATATAAATAAATAAATAAAATAAAAATAAATAATATGCAGAGAAAATAAAAAAATTAACATTAGGGAAAACATATATAAATAAACCCAACTTCTAAAAATATAAACAAAATCAAGAGAAAGAAAAATAACTGTCCAAAATAACAAAACTAACTTATTGAGAGAACCGAAAACTAACTAAACGATCAAATGTCTTGGTGAGAATAAACAACGAAAATACGAGCCAGGTTGGAGGATCTGCTTCCAACCCGGTGGTTACCTTCTACAATGTTTCGCAGTCGATGGTGAGAAAGTATCGAATCGATATCCTATCGATCTCGATCGACGACTGCCGATGAGCCGAACAGCTGATATAAAAAAAATGGCGCTAGGTGAAATCTGAGGTGAAGTGAACCTGGAGCAGCAGGTGGGGGTAGCCTTCCACTATGTGGATCCGTCATCAAAAGCCAGCTGCAGACTACCCAACAGTATTATCGCAGTATTTGTGTCTTAATCCCTAAGATAGGGCATTACTGCCGGGCTGGAGTGTATATACAACGCGATAACACATCGCAAAAGAAGCCAAATATACAAATACAATAAAGTTAAATACATTTTTGAGACAATTGTCCCTCAGTTTTTTACCAAAAAAAAAAATAAACATTTTCTTGTTAACACTTAAAAAGGGGTGAGTGGTGAGTGCCAGGATTGCAGCAAGCAATAGATGCTATTTATCACTTTAAATAGACTTGAAGTTCAGATCACTCTCTAAAAGAAACAAAATTCTCATATACAAAACCATAGTAAGGTCAATGGTTATGTATGGGTATGAGACTTGGATCTTAACCAAAAACTCAACTCTTGGAAGAGGAAAGTATTGAGAAGAATATGGGGCGGAATCTCTGAGAATGGAATTTGGAGAAGAAGAAAGAATGAGGAGCTGCGGGAACTCTATGGTGAACCTGATATTGTAGCATTGATAAAAAGATCCAGAATCAGATTGTAAATAACCTAATAAACTTTATTGTAAATAATTTGTTTTGGCGGGAATTGGAGAATAGCCTTCAGCTTTTATATCGGGGGAATTAGGTTATTTACATTCGTGATTATTAAGACAAAACCCCAGCATTGGATATGGACTTTTTGAGGGTGTTTAACTGTTGTTGGGAATCCGGGAATCTAATACCTTTTGTGACACTGAGTGACAAGAAACAATAAGAATATATATACAATGTGGAACTTAATAAATACACTTTGAATGAACTGACTCACCTGGTTTGTTATTCTTCAATCGTGAGGTATATAGGACCACTAAATAAATAAATGACTTTTCACTCCTGTCTAACAAAACAATTTATTTTACAACTGTAATAAGTGAATCTAGTAAAGTCTTATAACTGTCGGCTTGATATTCTTCGTCTTCAATGTCCTGCTTCTCTTATCTCAGGTAACGTCCTCTCGCCTCCGTGTTCCAGCCTCAAGTGCCTTCTCTCTCTGGCGTCCTCCTCCAGCTGTTGCTACCTGACCGGACCTTTTTCCTTCTTCATCGATTGTTTATCGATATTAGACTTTTCAATGAACAATTTGTACACTGTACAATTGAGTACAATTCATAGTGCAATCTCACATTCCTATATATTCTATATCCCTTCTCTTTCTCTAACACCATGTCACATAAAGGAGTAAATACTGGGAGCTATCTACTACAAGATGGTTAGGCCATGTGGAAAGAATGCCAAAGAAGATGCTGCATGAGAATCCGGATGGTAAAAGAAGTATAAGGCGCCCTCGGATCAGATGGCTGGAGGATGTTGAGGACGATCTGAGTCGACTGTGCGTTCGAAGATGCCAGGAAGTAGCACATGACCGTGGAGATTGGTTGGATGTAGTAGAGGAGGCCCGGGTTCTTGAAGGACCGTAGCGCCATTATAATAAATACATAATAAATAATTGAAAGATTTGAGAGATAACATGTGGGATCTGGGATAAGAGCATTAACATAGAAGAAGGAACAATAAAGAAGTGTTTACAGAAACTGGTCAATCAATATCTCATGATATGAAGGCAAAGATTGGTTTCTTTTCCTTTTTCTATTGCTTCCCGTTTTGGAGCTGCGAAGAGCAATAGCGAAGATGCGAAATTTTCACTTGGGTTAATTTCATTTTGCGTTTGCTGACAACCTTGTCATATTGACCCAGAATGGACGTGACCTAAAAAACAATATTAATGCCCTCAAGGAAGAATTGAAAGCGATTAATATAAAAATGAACCCTGAGAAAACGAAATGCATGCGTATTGGAAGGAAACTTCGCAGGTTTATGAGGGTATTGAGAGTGGACGGTAAGAATTTGGAGCAGGTAGTTTTAAATACTTGGAATCCAGCTTTCCATATCAATAACTTCCATAACCCAATACAATAGTAATAATTGCAGATTCTTTGAGTTCTTTAAAAAGTATTAATAATATATATATACGAGACATCAGAGTATTTTAAAAATCCATAGGTATTTAAATATGTTCGAAAATTTAGAAAAATCGATATATTTTATCTGGGTGCCTACAGACAATGGCTGACATTGCAATGTCAACAGAAAAAACTAAGATGTGTGGTTTAGACCTCACGATAGAAGTGAAAACATCAACAAGAGAAGATATGATTTATATGAAATATAATTTATAAATAACAGCTCATTATAAAGAGGATGAAATGCTTACCATTTCTCTCGCTTACAGGTCCGATTTTTAGTATCTGAGATACTTTAATCCATATTTTCAATAAAACTCGTTATCATTTGGTTTTCGACACAATGTCTTCCCTTTTCACCACTCTAACACGACGTCGCGTTAAGATACAATTTTGAATGATACTCAATTACAAAGAAGATGAAATGATGACCATTTTTTTTTAGAACAATATGCGGATCTAATTTTTAGTTTTTAAGATATTTTAATCGATATGGAAAACAGAATATGTAAAAACAAAATTAGTCGACTCCAGCCGACATTACGTGTTAAATCAAAAAGTTATTTATACGTTCTTGAAGAGCGATAATTCAGCTTTCCAACGGTTGTGGAAACATTAAATTAGGATAAAATCCTGAGGAGTTATGAATGTTTTAGTTAACGGCAGGCAAAAATATCATAACGAAAAGTGAAGTCGTTGCCATGACGATATCTCAACACAGCTCTTCTATCCTATACATTATTTCTAAAAGATGTTTTTTCGTCTGTACGCCATAACATCGTCATTTCTTCATCAAATCCAATGATTGACCACTCATTTTGAAGATATTCTTCTCCTTCACATGCGAAAAATAGTCTTATCCCACCGAAATTTCTGGAAAAAAAATTTATGGAGGAAAAAAAAGTTTATTTGCGAATAACTCAAAAAGTATGCATTTTTTTTTCTGGATTGTACCCATAATAATTAGAAAGATTACTAAATTATCTAAAAATTAAAAAAAAATCATAAAAATGGATTAGAAATGTGTATAATTTAAACGATTTGTAATTAAGAAGGGAGTTCAGTGTGTCGAAATATTTTTTTAAGGAGAAACAGAGTTGAGATTTGTATTTCGCCGGTCGAAAGACCCTCGAATACAAATTTTCTTTGTGATCGAAAAATAAAAATAAAATTCTACAAAGTTGACCTAATACTCCTTGATTTTATTTCAAAAATCATTCAACAATTTTATAACTTTAATATTCTTCTTCATATTCACTTAACATTTTGCAGGAACATATATATATAGGGCCTTATAAACTATACGATATGACACAAACTGTGCCTTTCTAAGAAATTTAGGACTCAAGTTATAAAATAAAAACCTGTTAGGAGTTTTTATTTATTTACTCTTTATAGACGTATTAAATCAAAAAGTTATTCATATGGTCTTGAAGAGCGTTAATTCAGCTTTTCAACGTTTATAGAAACATTGAATTGGATAAAATCCTGAGGAGTTATGAATCTTTTAGTTAAAGGCAGGCAAAAACATGATAACGAAAAGTGAAGTCATTGCCATGACGATATCTCAGCACAGCTCTTCTATCCTATATTTATTTCTAAAAGGTGTTTTTTTGTCGGTACGCTATAACTTCATCAAATCCAATGATTGACCACTCATTTTGAAGATATTCTTCTTCACATGCAAAAAATAGTCTCATCCCACCGAAATTTCTGGAAAAAAAATTTATGGAGGAAAAAAAACTTTATTTGCGAATAACTATAAAAGTATGCATTTTTCTGTATTGTACCCATGATAATTAGAAATATTACTAAATTACCAACAAAACAAAAAAAAATTGTAAAAATCGGACAATTATTAACAAAGATACAGTCCATTAGTTTCGGTATACTTAATAATGTCTTCCTGTTTAAATATATTGCATTTAGGAGTAGAATAGTATACTACATTTTTTTTTTCCTGGTTTTATATTAACTTTATTATTTCTTAAAGACATTTGGTTGTTCTTACATTTTATTTTTTTTTAATAATTTGGAATATCCTATGATCGAGTCATTATTACTTTTATTATCTTTCCAGTCAGCGTTTAAAAATAGATCCTAGCAAAGCAATTTGTATAAATAATATGGTCTATTATGTTTAATGGAATATTGTAATCGACCAAGGAAAAAATATTAATTCCTCCCTTACATAATAAATAGGAACTACTTATTGCCATATTGATTTGCTATTTCTACTCTAAACAAAATTTTCTGCGAATTTTTCGCACGGGCCAATTAGTGTCTATATAAAATATATTGATATTTTATGTAAATAATATATATATATAATCTTAAAAATAATTGAGAAACGTAATATAGTTATTATGAATATATCTTACGACGTATAGCGGGGACATGGCAGTAGTCTGGGCCTCGAAGAGCGCTAAATCTGAACAGCGTTCATAGTCGAGCTGTTCCTTTAAGGATTTTCCACCTTAACTTATTGCCATATTGATTTGCTATTTCTTCTCTAAACAAAATTTTCTGCGAATTTTTCGCACGGGCCAACTATTATAGTATTATTCAATAAATAAATTTTTATGGTCAGTTTCTTTAATGAACTCACTCGTGAAACTTGACCGTTCATTAAGAATCAGTGTAATTTTAAGAAGGAAATTTTCACTTGACCCATGGCATACTGTTAAAAAAATTTTGAATAGAAATTTTTCAAAAATATTTATTTTTCAAATTCTGCTCCTCTCCTAAATACAGGTAAGACCTGCAGGTCCTGTGGCGGTCGGGTAAGATTCGGAGCTGACGTGGACGAACTGAGGTACCCGTTGCATTCCCATCTCCTTCAGTTTTTCCATCGTCGACTCGATGAAGTCGTTGTGTCCTTTGATCTCCTTCGTTATCAGCAGGGGTAACTTCTCCAGTTCGGACCTCTCCAGCACTAACTGTTCCTTCGCCATTCGCGCAGACTCAGGATGTTTATTTTCGTACTGTTCGAACAAATTGTCGAACTCTTTTAGGTTCCTGATATGAGTATCCATTCTGAAAAGTACATAACTGAATAATTATTTCTAGTCAATAAATATTAATTTCTTAAATATTATATAAAGCCACGATTCTATTGACCGCCAGAAACTGTATAATATTCTAATCGAGCAGGGGATTCCAAAAAAACTAGTAAATCTAGTCAGGATCTTGACGGAGACACTCAATAAAGTTAGAATCGGTAATAATTTGTCCGAAAAATTTGAGGTTCGTTCTGGCTTAAAACAGGGGGATTCTCTTTCACCTGTCCTGTTTAATTTAGCATTAGAACATGCCATTAGGGAGGTAATGCGAACCGAGAAAGGGTTGGATCTGGGCGGGACAACATCCGTGCTGGGCTATGCCGATGATCTGGTACTGTTAAGCGAAGACGTTGAAACTATAAAACTAAATACGACAACGTTAATGAAAGCCGGTAAAGAACTAGGACTCGAAATAAGCGTGGATAAAACAAAATATATGGTTAGCTGCAAAAATGGCGATACTACTGGTGATATCGATATAGATGGTAGTATGTTTGAACAGGTAGATAAATTTAGGTATCTAGGTTCTACGATAACTAGAAAAAACGAAATTGAAGAAGAGATTAAGGTTAGACTGAAGGCGGGGAATGCTTGTTATTTTTCTGTGACAAAACTACTTAGTTCGCGCCTCTTGTCCCGAAACCTAAAAATTAGAACCTATAAAACAATTATCTTGCCTACAGTTCTTTATGGATGCAAAACTTGGCCGCTTACATTAAGGGATGAGCAGCGTCTTAAGGTTTTTGAAAATAAAGTATTGCGTAGAATATTCGGACCGAAGAAGGATGAGTTAACCGGAGAGTTCAGACGGTTACACAACGCCGAATTGCGTGAGCTGTATCCGGGTAATATAATTGAGGTAATTTCATCGCGGCGAATCAAATGGGCTTGTAAAGTTGTTGGGCTTAGTAACGAGAGAATTCCTAAAAGGTTAATATTTGCTGTGCCGAATGGTAAGCGTCTGAGGGGTAGATCGAAGCGAAGGTGGGAAGATTGCATTAAAGCCGATCTGAAGGGACTGGGTTTGGACGGCGAACGGTGGAGGGAGGTGTGTAACAAACGATTGGTGGTGTCGGCATCGAACCTTCGGGTTCGCTAAGCCTTATTATTATTATTATTATATAAAGCCAAAGTATTAATTCGGTTAGCGAAATCTTTCAGTTTAATTCTGGAGTAAAGCAGGGAGAAGCACTCTCATCAATTCTATTTGATTTGGAGCTACATAATGCAGTTAAAGGGATCACGTCAGGTGCTGATTAAGCATGCTGACGACATTGCAATTATAGGTAGAAGCAAACCAGTTGAGGTTCTATCGACATTGGTTTTAGAATGTAAGAAGGTTGGATTAATAGTTAACGACACACAAACAAAGTATATGGTTGTCTCGACTTCGGATTCAACAAGGAAGCCTGAGGATTTTATTTTTCAGGAATACTTTTTTTAAGAACTGGAAATTTTTACGTATCTTGGAGTGCAGGTCAATAGCGAGAACTTGACCAACCCGGAAATAAGAGGAAGAATCATGGCAGGCAATAAAGCTTACATTGGTATGTTAAATCTTTTTATATCGACACTACTATCCAGACTTACAAAACTCAAAATGTACAAATTCTTGGTTCGGCCAGTTGTGTGCTATGGAGCAGAAGCTTGAAAGTAGCTGACCAGAAGGCACTAAGGATTTTAGAAAAAAAAATCATGAGACGAATTGTTGGCCTCATGTGCATACAAAGAGAGTAGATAAGGACAAATCAGAAGCTGGATGAAGAATAGAAAGAAGCACGAGTATATTTTACTGCTACGTTTTGGGGTGTGAAATTTATTCGGGATGCCACTGGATAATTATTGATGATAATTACCCAGAAATTATTAATAAAAATCCGTATAATGTATTTGGTCCATGATTATTTAATTGGATTTCTTTTCTCAAAGGCTGCTTTGTGTTTATCATGCTTTCTAATTACCAACATTACCTGTGATCATTATGATATAAATAGGTGGCAGTATTAAAATAACTTTTACTAATAAAGTTAATTTATTTCTATGTTTAATAAAGAATAAATACGAATTATATTTACAAGAACAAAATACGTGATTCAATGAATTTAATAATTAACTGTGAAGGCATGATGATTTCAGATGGAGTGTTTGAGAATTATTTTGCCATGAAATATTCTAACATTGGTAAATTTATTGTTGGAAATAAAATTTATCTATTATGGTATGTGAAGTGGTGTAGTTAGTAGATTTCTTCACTGCATCTGCTGATCTGAGGTCATCTTGTCAAGCCCAGGTCCAAAAACTGCCAGAATCCCTTCTCCGTGGTCTATGTAGAGCCAAGGCTTCAGTCCCCAAGCCGGAAGAAAACATAAGACCCATCCTCAAGGCCGGAGATCAACATAAGATCCATCGTCAAGGCCGGAACTCTCAACATAAGACCTATCCATCATCATAAGACCTATTTTCTTACTTCTCGACGTATTATATATAAATATTCAGTGAGGGGCAAGGATGGTTTCCATCGGTTCTTAATTTCACCCTATTACTTCAAAATAACTGGTAACACCCTAAAAAGAACCAGTTACTTAACCCGTTACTAGTTTTTACTCTACGCCTTCCCGAGGGTCTTGGTACAGGTCGGTCCTTACCTAACTGCTCCTACCAATTGACGCTGGTTGGTGTCAGAAGTCGGTTTCATTCAACTTGAATAATTTTGAAAACTTATTCGCTCTGTTCAATGCATAGTAGTACGCTTTATTAGTCTCCAAAAGGAGACATTGGTAAACTCCGAGTTAGGAGATAACAAAGCAAAAAGTTCTGATTTTTAAACAACCACAAATATTATTTAGAAAATATCCTATTAACAAAGTTTATTTTAATAAAGAGTTTAATATATTTTTTAATTCTTTATTGTTTTCTTAAAAGTGTATACTGGTCTATCAGTGCAAATAGCTTTAAGTGTCTTGTCATAGTGTTTTGTATATAGTTTTGTTTGTTTTGTATATAGAATGTTTACCTTATATTTTCTTTACATTATTTCTTTTTTCCTATTGATTTTATTTTGGCCAGATGTAATCTTATACTTTTGTTCTATTTTATTATTCTCAAGGGACTGTGTCCCAGAATAAAGTTATTTTCTACAACACTATCTATCTATTTATATCCGTTTGTATTTATGAGAGTCAACTACTAGCAAATCTACTCCATTATAAGGCTCCAATAGCTAACTCCCATTAATATCTAATTCTTTCATCGAGATAAAAGATAATCATTAAGAACAGATAAAAGATAATCTAAAAACAATCTCCAAGATACAATCATACAAATATTTTGGAATAAATCAGATCGATTAAAGAGAAAAAGGCAAACCTAAGATATGGAGCTCTTATTGACAGATGGTTGTTTCTGAGGCACTAAGTCGGCCGTGAAGGACTTTCTTAATTTGCCACTTATTATTTCGGTTGCGATTTCCGACAAGACTAAAGCAAAGCAAACCAATATACAAGGAGAAAATACAAAAATTAAATATACATGAAATAGAGGTCTAGGAGGACCTGAAATTTTATTTTTCTCATTTTTCGATGAGGATGTCGGGATTAATCATGACAAATCACAACACATAACTTTTACACTTCGACGAGACACATATTCACCAGTTTATATCAGTGAAAAGCTAATTCCTCAGAAGGACGCTGTACGTTATCTCGGACTGATGACCTGGGGCCTACATGTCAATATGAAACCAAAGACTTTGAACAAACGACTGAAAGAACTAATTGGAGTCGGGAAAACTCGGGCCATTTTTTACAACACAAATTCTATTTATTTTCTGCTTTCTTCAAAAATAAATTAACAAAAAATTGAATAATCAATAATAAAGGAATTACTTACACTTCATCGAAAATATCTCCTAAATATTGTTCCTGCAGATTTTTTACGTCGATCTTAAGATTCTGAAGCATATTTAGATAGAAATGTTTCTCCTTCTGCCTTCGTTTTACTTCTTCTTCCAACTCTTTTTTTCGTTTTTCGTAAATTTCTTTTTCTTTATTCAATTTTTCCATTTTGTTGAAACATCTGGTCGCTACGTCAACATTCTGTTTGAACGAATTAAGCCTTAATTCGCTTATTTTGACACTTTTGTTAAGCTCATCCAGTTCACTCTGTTTCGCTTTAACCATTTCTTTATAAACATTTATGTCTTTACTAGTGCTTTGAAACTGAAAATAACAGCAAAACTTAAACGCAAAAAAATTAAGGTGTATATTTAAGCACAATATATATATTTGTACACTATACTTGTTTAAGCATTTACAACATATACAATTATAATTGTGAATAAACTATTTTTACTTTCACTTACCTATATAAGTAATAATATAGTAAGGATAAGTATTACGATCATGAAAATTTTTGAATCTGAGTTTTCAACGGGAATACAAGTTTTGATGTCCCCTGAGTCGAAATAAGTCATATTAAATATTAAAGATGGGTATATGCCTTAGATGTGACAGCAACTTTATAAAGTGCCACTCTATATGAACGCTGAAACACATTTTTACAATTTTCTCAAAAAACGATTTTGATTAAACTAGGTGTGTCATTGTATAATTAAGTGGTCTTTAATATCATTTAGGTCTTATCCCCGTTGATGTCACTTTACAGGGCTTAGATGCCCAATGTTCATATATGTCTTCCTCTAAAGTACCTTTAATATGGTTTATTTTTAAAATTTAATCATTTCGCATTATTCAGAGTTATGCAAAATGCTACATATAACTTTTGAAAGAATTTGATAAGTTAATAAAGGAGAAAAAACATAAAAATGCAGAAAAACCTGCGGTGCTCTAGACTGTAGCGCCTAAACGAATGTACCGATTTCAATGAAACCCTTTAAATTTATCTATATTACATACTTCAACGAAAAGAAGCTGGAAAAAAGTTACGAGGGATGGTAGGTAAAATTAAATTCCCAATAAGTCAAAAAGTATACACTTTCTTGTGGATATTGTATATGGTTTTTTAAAACTTTATGGAATTTCCTAAAAAAAATAGAAAAAAAAATCGTTAAATTCGGACAATCAGGAGGAAAGACATGGTCTCTAGTTTTTTTTTTCCTGAAGAGGTGAAAATTTGGATAAATTTAAAATATACTTTTTTAATTGTTGAGACTAAAAAAACCTTTTTTCTACAGATATTTAATAAAGTATCTTTCCTAAGAACATCTTTCATAAGAAATAAGTACCTAAATTTATACCTTTATTCTCAGTTCTATATTTCAACACTGCAATCACCACCTCCGGAATCAACTTACTCTATATTCTGCATAGATAACTTTTTCAACTAAAAATATCACTAAAATGACATTACTTAAAAAAGTTGAAATTGGAGTTAGTCATTCTGTGGTTTATAAAAGCAAAGAAAGTTGTGTGGTTTATAAAAGCAGATGGAGTGACTAGATTTTTATTGCCTACCGTCGATATATTAAATAGACATTTTGTTATTATAATGGTCTTCATGACTTGTTATCTGTAAGCTTTAAGCTTTAGCTTTTATAATAGACCAGCGATGTCGGGCACCACATTTTTTAAGTTATCGCTTCCTATTCAACAAAAAAAAAATGCTTGAAAATCGCAAATCTTAAATGTCCTTCGTTTCATCTGGAAATTGAGCAATACTTTAAATGAACTATTTTGTAGATCTCGTTGTCTATTATCAACCTTTTAATAATTAATCAACCTTAACACACCCTGTATATTTTATATATTGGTTAGTGAAAGTTATAAGCGACTCATTTATAGTAGATAATATTGTAAATTATTGAGAAAAAAAAATACCTCTTCATTCTGTTTTGCAATATTCTGGCTAAGTGATATAATCTGGAGTAAGTCGCCTTCAACGCGCTCTCTTATAAAGGATCTGATCTTCTCGAAATTGACTTTATGTGCAGCTTTTAGATCATGAATGAGCAAATTCTTCTGTTCGCAACAGAAAAACTTTTCCAGTAGAAATTGAAGATCTTGATATCGCTTCCTTACCAAAGTTCTCTGGTACAAGAGCACTTGCCAATCGAGCATTTTATCATCCGCTTTTTTCACCGCCTCTTCTATCAACTTCTCGTATTCTTTTTGAGCCTCTTTGTATTCTTTATTCAATTCGTCCTGTTTTTTGTCTGCTCTCATGAGTTCTTGTGTTTTCGCTTCCATCATTTTAGGTAGTATTTCCTTATCCCATTTACTGACCACCTGTTCAATTCGTTTCTGATTTTCCTTATCTTGATAATCCGCATCGAAGTCCAATATGAATTTTTGAAATGTTATCTCCTGCTCTTTTTCGTGGTAAGGCTCTTTGTGTTTATCCCAGACGACGCTTACTTCTAAATACTTCTTCATCACCAGGGCTTTCGCCTCTTCGTAATCCTTCTCTGTATTCTGCCAAAAAGTACGAATCACATCGCATTCTTTTCGAGATTTGGTTCTTTCCCCCCTCTCCAATAATAGCGCTTCAGTCAATTCAATAATAAGCTTCTGTACGGCTGGCCATTGGTAATCACTTATATTTTTTCCCTCTACTATTATTTCCTCGACAGGTTTCGCCATCGTTTAAACCTTAACATAAAAATATATATATATATATTAACATATTATATTGTAGGAATCTATATAAATAAAAGAAAGATTTTGTCTATAGATTAAATAGAATCAACCCGTTTTATGATATCTTTACGTTTCATACATTGCAAACACCAAATCCACTTAAAAAAAAAAAATTGTCTGTCTGTATGTCCGCATTGAAACAAAATTTTGTCAGGGGTAAGCTCAGCAATGGCTTATTGTAGACTTTTGAAATTTTAACATTATATTAAAGTCTGCTTGATTTAAAACATAGGCTTTAAATGAAAAGAAAATATTGAGTATAACCAAAGTTATGAATTCTTGAGTAATTTGTCTAGTGAGCTCAGTTAATGTTGATAATAAATGTTAATAATCAACAAATGTTTAAACTTTAAAGAACATCTATATAAATAAAATAAAGGTTTTGTCTGTACGTTGAATAGAATCAACCCGTTTCATGATATCTTTCCGGTTTATACTTTTTTTTTTCCTGTTGCCATTACAGATCTTTTGCCGTCGTAACAAGCCTACTCCATCTCTGCCTGTCTTGGGTTATTTCTTTACATTTATCTGCACGCAGCTCTGTTGCATTTTTGTTGATTCTATCTATCTATCGGCTTTTTAGTCTTCCACGAGGTCTTTTGCCTTCTATTGAGGTATTTATTGTTACCCCGCCCATCTTGAATTCCGTACCTTCATATCATGATATTGATTGACCAGTTTCTGTAAGCAGTTTCTTCTCCATGTGTTAGTAGATCCCAGATCTTTCCGGTTATCGTGCAGAGGATTTTCCTCTAAAATCTTGTTTTCTCAAATTTTTTTTGTAAAGTGTTGGTTAGTATCCAGGTATCACAGACATATATTAGAACTGGCTACATCATAGCATTGTACACTCTTAATTTAAGATTTTTCTAGATTTCAATATTTTTGAAAGAGAGAATAAAGCTCTGTTTGCGCTAGTTATAGACTGGTCTATTTCTGCATCTTGGTCATTCATTGAGGTTATTGTGGAGCCGAGGTATTTGATTTTTTCTACCCTCGGGAATGATTTTTCTTCTACGCAGACCCTGTTATTGAGGTGGAATTTTTAGATTATCATCATATATTTTGTTTTCTCTTCATTTAGTTGTATGCCGATCTGCTCTGCCTCTCTTATCGGAGTCTTAGCGAGTTTCTCAATGTCTTCTTGATTACTTCCAAGGACAGCTATATCCTGCTTTTAATAGCTTACATCCAAGGAATTTATGATTCATTCCGACGTGGACCCCTTCATTTTCATGAGTTGTTGCTCTTATTATCTTCTCCAGGGCTAAGTTGAACAAGATCTGTGATAGTCCATCGCCCTGCCGTAAGCCAGTTCGAACTTTGAAGGCTCCAGATACTTCTCCTTGTATTAGGAATCTATATTTGGAGTCATTTGAACACACCTTTTTTAATCTCACCAAGTTAATGGGAATTCCCAGTTCAGTCATGATTTTCCAAAGACAGCTCCAGTCCACAGTATCATAGGCTGCTTTGAAATCGACAAATAGTGCATACTTCCCATCGTTTTATTTGATATATAAGTTTGTAAATAATAAAGCCATTTTAGGATTTTAATTTTGTGAATATCATAAAAACCGCTATTTCAACGAGGATATTTATAAATTATATTATAATTTTTTTGGGCAATTTATGAAATTCCATTATAGCTAATAGGTGTATTTTTTTTAATATGTTATTCTTTAAAAAATCGTTTCAAGGGATCAACCCCTGAAACACAAAAAAATAACAATTCAATAAAGTCAGAACTTCACCACCATTTTATGGCCGCCATCTTTCTGCAAACCATTCCTGTAGAGTTAATCTGTTCATTTTGTTGAAGTGTGCACACATTAAGGTACTCTCTTAAGAAATGGGAAGAATAGACAATATGAGTTGCTAAACTTTAAGAGAACAGCCTGGTGGAGGAAGTATGGGGAGAAAGAAGAGGTAGCTAAAACCACGAAGCTCAAATTCAGACAGAAAGTGAGTCCAAATTGACAATCAAGCAATATGTGATTAATCTGTAAAGAACCACACCATTGTACAAAGGCACAAATTTCATTTATTTTATTTTATTCGATTAAATGCAATTTAATCATCAAATTTCAGTGATACAACTTCATACAGTTCACTCCAGTTTTCACTGTCACCATCGCACACAAGTCACTTACAGGTCATTGGGTAATATTTGGCTCACAACAAATTACCGTGATATATCACTATATTCACTGAACCTAAACACCTATATCAGGGCTACGATTAAAACTAATAGAATTTACTAAAAAGAAAAAAATTGAAGAATAGTTGTGACAGATTTTGAAAATCCACTTTCTTAACATGAAATAATTTTTAGATTTTTTAAATAAGCCCATTTTTGCTTTTCTTGAGCACGAGGAAACACTAACTTGGAGCGTGCTTGCCTGGAACATTAGCGATAACTAAACTGCTCCAAATTCCAGAGATAAAGCAAGCCACTTCACTCACAGACTAGGATATTTTTAAATGGTGAGCCTATTTTAGATAATTAGAATCTTTCAGTATATAACTCAGCTCAACTTAAAGGCACTTCACTGTACAAAAAAGAGAAACTGCCAGACTTCATAATTAAATGTCATGTGGCTGTAAAGATAAATTTCAAAGCACAATAAACGCAACAACAAGAAACAACAAACAATCATCTTACTAAAATTTTATTTGAATTTTCGAACTGTAAATTTAAACGATGAAGATTAAGACTAGATTGTACTATAATATGGACAAGTTCCAGAACTCAGCGCTGAGAACATCGAAGACATAGAAAAATCCATCAAACTGTTACTCGTTTATGGCATTACCTCTACATTTAGGAACGTACCCTATATCAGAAGCTACGGTTACTTATGTTGAATGCTTTATAAATATCCCAGTCCAAAACTACTTATAGTTAGGTTGATACGAGATAAAAATGGACGAATAAAGAAAAAAAAGTTAACACAATATAAACTATAGAGCTAACCATATACAGAATACCTTCCTTTAACACAAAAACATTCATAGATTCACTAAAGCACAAATAACAAGAAATCTTCATTATAACGAAACACGCAGCTCAAAAATAATGATCATGATAAAGAAAATAGAAAAAAAAAATAATAAAAAAACTGTACTAATAACCACCCATGGAGGGTCTTGGGTTCAGTATAATATGAGGAATTACTGTTACTAGGTTGTGCAGGGAGGTGATCGGGCCGAAATCACGCTCAATCGCCAGGTTTTTCCCCTTAATTTATTATTTGATTAACAGAACCTACTTTATAGAGGCTGGGTGTGCCCCAGTAGGATATGTTAGTCCCAGGATCGATACTCGGCAGACGAAAATTAACTAGTCATCAGCCGGATTCGAACCTGGGACCTTGAGCTACCCCACTCTTAATAAAAGAGAAAAAAAAAACCGTATCTTCAATTGCTTTCTAAAAATGACAGTGTTATTAGAAATAAGTAAATCTCTATAAAAAGAAACCTCAACCGTGAGATATGAAATGCAAAAAATAACGAATGGAAAATAATCTGTGCAAACATTAATACCCAACTAGAGTATAGAAAACTTACAGTAGCATGGAATGTCCTAAAAACATTAAGAAAGCAGACCACTCATAAAACCAATATACAATCAATTATATAAAATATGGCTGTTTTTATTTTTTCACCATATTTATTTTAATTTTCATAGCTACTTTTCGGCCGGTAAGCCATCCTCAAGCTATTTTATTCAACCATGCTTTTTGCATGTAGTCCAAAGTCTAATTGCAAAAAGCATGGTTGAATAAAATAGCTTGAAGATGTCTAATCGGCCGAAACGTAGCTATGAAAATTAAAACAAATATGGTTAAAAAGTAAACATAGCCTTATTTTATAATGTTAAAATATTTTCATCTTAAACAAGAACATATGAATACAATTAATAGGTATTTCGGGAATAGCAGGAATACTTTGAAAAAAGGAAGATATGAAGGAGTTCAAAGAGGAAAATGAATATCAACACCATGTTGTATTGATGAAGTTGTATTTTTTGCAAATACAACTTCGCAAATATCCACCTAAGATGTAAAAAAAAAGCATTAAAAGATAGAGAAATAGAAAATCTCTAGGATCTGGTGGAACTCTACTCTAGAACTACTGAATTCTTGTGGTGAAAAGGTTTCAATAATTCTCCCGCGGTTGATAAACAAGATCCTAACTGGTAAAGAAATTCCGAACGAACTGAAATCAGGGTATTTATGCCACATATATAAAAAAAAGGAACAATAAATTATAGAGGCATATGTGTCATTAATTCTTGTGTGAAACGCCTTGGCAGATGATCGTCAAAAACAGACTAGGAAGGGAATACGATGGTGCAGAAGACCAATATGGCTTTACCGTTGGAAGATCTTGCATTGATCACATATTTACAGTGGAACGAATTTTTGAAAAATTATTTGGAAAATTCTAAAGACGTGGATGGTTTGTTTATTGACTTAAAGACTAGAAAGAAATTGTGTCAAACCCTCATGGCACCACAAATATCGAAGCCCATAATAAATACCATAAAATAAATTTATCAAAATAATGCATGTTGAAATAAATTAGGGTCAACTGAAATAAATAAAATGTATATCAATATAGAGTAAAAAAGGAAGAAATTAATGAAAAGTTCCCCCTTTTGCATTGACACAATCATGTAATCTCTGTGACCAGTCATCAATAGCAGCACGCAGCACTTCTTGAGGAAAGCGCTCAACTGCTCGGACCAGAGATTGTTTGAGGCTTTCCAAGTTAGGATGTGTTCTGTGACATACCATCCTCTCCAGTTCGGATCAAAGCCGATAATCTAGTGGGTTGAGATCAGGGCTTCCTGAGGGCCGATCCGAGGCAGAGACGAACTCTGGAATGTTCGTTTGCAGCCAATGGTGAGTTGATCTCGTCTTGTGAGCTGGAGTGGAATCCTACTGGAAAACCCAATAACTTCCAGCAAACAGAGTATCATTTAGAGACTTGAACACAGGTTCCAAAATATCGTCCTATTAGTTTTTAGCAGCTGTTTTAACTCCTTTAAAAAAAAATATGCTTTTCAGTGCTATCAAAGATAACTCCGCAACGAATCATCACTGGAGAAGGGTGATTACCTCTTTCCACTCTTTCCATTACTTCCTGTGCTTCTTTAGACTTGTGTGCGTACACAAGATAATTTTGGCAATTAAATTTTTCTTCAATTGTCAAACTTTTCTCATCGCTATACAAAATCTCTCGATGAAGACCATTGGTGTAACGGCCAAAGAGCACTTTGTGTCTATCCACTATAATTTTTTTTTAGGGAAGCCTTTGTCCTGTCATTCTTCGAAATCCACTCATCCTGAGGTCACTTTTTATTATGCGAGACATTGATTTCAAACACAAATAGAAGAGATTTCCATTTCCCTAGACATGATTTATTGTTATCAAATGCGATTTCTGTTTCATTCCAGCAGCCATTACTCTCACTGCATTTGCCGTTCTCACAGTGCGGGGACGGCTCGGTAGAGGTCTGTCACATACAGATAGGTTTTCGTTATATCTTTTTATAGTACGATACACAAACATACGGCTGATACCCAAAAGTTTCAAAGTGTTGAAAATGTCTGACCTACATTTTCCAACTTTGTGGAAGGCGATCACAGCTATCTGGTTATCTTTATCACCCTACTCCATGTTAACTGAGCGAAAGAAATATATAAACTAACTGGGATTATTATACTGAGATGTAAAGAAAATGACCTGATAGAGGTGAGAATTATCTAAATAACACTCAAGGATGTAAACAAAGTTCAACTTTTGTAACAGCATTTATGACAGAACTAGGTATACATTACAAACTTAATGTTTATTGATGATCAAGTGTTTCAAGCCCAAGATAGACAGTAGCTAAATAAACGACACGATTCATAAAGTAATAGATTAATATGAAAAGTAGGGATTGAAAATTCATTTCAAAAAGACAGAGTACTTCGGCACTTACAGATAACACGCGAATTGAAAAAGGCGTTAAAACAGTAGATTTGTTAAAAAACCTGGAGTCAGTTTTAAGGGACCTGAGCCGATGATATAATAGGGTGCATAAAAAAAATGACCGTTTTACAACCAAATATTTGTATAATTATTTCTTTGATATAAAATACAATTAATACTCTAGGTACAATTCATTTTTATCTACCTTCATTATCCATCTACTAGCTAATTGCTCGATCCCACTCTGATACCATTCCTTGCGATGGCTGTCAAAGAACTCTTAGACCACAATTTCAACTTCCGGAAAATTATCAAATTTTTTCCCTTGAAGGAAATGAGGCATGGATCTAAATAAGTAGTAATCCAATAGTGCGACGTCTGGATTGTGTGGTGGATTAGGCAGGAGTTCGAACCCATGAAGTTCTTTAAACTTTTGTTTGGTCCGAAGGGAAGTGCAAGGACGAGCATTATCTTTTTGAAATAAAATTCCTTTTTGGTACATCAAATCAGGATAAATTCGCGTACAGTATTTCCAGTTATTCGAAGTATATTTCAAAATTCGTTGAGTATATATCAAGAACAAATTCGTGATGAATAACACCTTCGAAATTCCAAAAAACGTCAAAGCATGGATTTTTTTTCAATTGTCCCCTTGCAGAAACCGGAAAAGCAGTTTGACCGCGATCTAGCCATTGCTCGCGGGTTTCGCCAGTAAACCTACTTTTCATCGCATGTGAATATCTTCCGGTACAATCTCATATCAGAAGGGGTTTTCAATAAATTTTAACATATTTCTAACTTCTCAGCTGGTTGCTGAGGAGTAAGTTCGTGATGGACCAGTCTACTGTTGTTTTTCACCTTCCCCATGGAGAGTAAATGGCGACTAATAGTATCTTTTGACACAACACACTCGCTAGCAAGTTCGCCAATACTTGCGGACGGATTTGATTCAACAGTTTTCTGCAGAACCTTATCAATATGCATTAATTGTCGCCCGGAGCCCTTCTTCCTATCCAACGTCATATCTCCACTGCTAATTTTTTCAAACCAACGCCTAGCAGTGCGCTGGTCAAGGACATCTGCTCCTTCATATTTAATAATTTCACGAGTTACTTTAGCTACTGTGTTTTTTTTTCATTAATTTTTTTTTGCAGTAATGCTTTAAAATTACGAGAATTTCGTAGGACACTGTCATGTTTCTTCTTTGAAATAAATAACTAAACTGAGACTTTTTTTAAAGAAGTCCAATGGGATTAAACAAGCTTAAAGAATGCTCTAAAGGTATTATTAAGTATTAAATAGGACTAAATTATTTACAGGACTTTGAAATCTTAAATTTCATAAAACGGTCATTTTTTTTTTTATACACCCTCATTACATTATTATATATTCCAATATTATCAAAAATATTACCTTTTTTTAATACTGTTGAAACTGCAAGTGACGGCTTTCGGTTTTAGTTAAATTAAACTACGAACATATGTATACACATTTTAAAAGCTAAAATTGTTATTTTTTTTAATATTCGTGAATATTATTTAACTTTTTTTTATGTAACAGCTGTGAAACAAGTTATTATTCAAGTATTCTATTATCAAAATTTAAATACATACTTTGAGGTCTTGTGCGTTAAGACGACACCTTGAAGTTCTCAATTAACGCAATAGATTCTCCTTCCAGTCTATTTTCTACATCTCCAACTCTATTTTGTATATATTGTTTTAATTGATCATTTATCTTTTTCACGTTATTTTAACTTTTTATTCAGTTATACGTAGTCAGCATATTTTGATAGATTTTACAATATCTCAATTTTCTATTCATATCTATTATTGAGTACTTTATCGCATGTTAAAATGAAACGTAAGACACTTAACAAACTACTTTACTCTCTTTTTTCTAAATCTTCAAAACTAAAACTAAAACAGAAACTGAATACATATGCTTACTTACTTAAACCAATATGGACGTATTCATCACAAATATACGGTATCGCTAAAAAGACCCACCTACAAATAATTCAAACGTTCCAATCAAAATTATTGCGACTCATAACAAAAGCACCTTGGTACCTGAGTAACAAAACTCTACATACTGACATCCATTTTCCAACAGTTCACTAACTTATAACGACGCTTTTTCGATTTCACACAAATTTAAACGGACATAATAAGAGACATATCCACAGCTGACATACCTCAGAACATGAGGAGGAGACTAAAAAGGCGTTGGATGAGGGACCTCCTTCCTTAGACAACCTAAGTAATTGGAACAAGTTAGAGAAGAGGTACTGCTGAGTACTTTCCTTTCCCATGCCTTTATCATGTCATTATTTCATGTATTGCCATCACATTTGCAGATTGTCAACTTATTGTTGACATTCGCGCAACTACATCACATTTGCGCAAATACATTTTTATAGACAAAAAAAATATCTATTATTTTCTAATATAACTTCATATTCCTTTTCTCTGTTTTACATCTTATTCTAAAATTTCCATATTTCATTTCTTATGTTACTTTATGTTTATTTCATAAGTCCGTACTTTGTTGCCGTTATTATTATATAGTTCTTAGTTCTATGTTACTATTACTTTATTTTAAGTTTATTCAACTACATTTTTTAGTCTATACTTCTTTACCTTTTTTATTTTAATTTTTTATTATTCAATGTTTATAGTTTCTGATACCTATTGTTATCTATTTTTTTCTTATCGCTAATAAAGGCCTGAACTTCGGGCCGAAACGTCGGCAAATGTAAAAATAAATATAATTATTTATTTTTATTATTCTTTATTTTGACTGATCGCCCCAACCATTCAATCATTCACTACAGTCAATAATTAATCCACACTTTGCAATAGATTTTCAATTTTAATCCACTATAACCGATTATTTGTCTCCTTTCTCCAGTGACTTTAGATCTTCCTCTACATCGTCCATCCATAACTAATCTTATTTCTTATCAACAATCACTAGTACATTTTGTCTAGTTAAGGGGTCTACAATGTCCTAAATTGTCCATGTATTTTTTGGAAAATCAGCAAGAATTAATTGCAATTTACAATTAGACGCTCTAGACTTTCAATTAATTACAAAAGACTCATCTACTTGACTATAATAAGACCTACATAGACATACGGAGTTGAACTTTGGGACTCTACCAAACCATCGAATTCCTATCGTATCCAATCCTTACAATACAAAATCCTTCTTAAAATCCTTAATGCCCCATATTTTGTCACAAATAAAACCATTCATAAAGACCTTAATGTTCCATATGCTGCTGATTTAGCCCGAGCCAGATACCTATCCTTTCATGATAAACTCCAGTCCCATCTGAATCCACTTGTTTCCTGTGTAAATAACCTAATAAAGTTTAATCCCCATCCTCATCCCCACATATATTATTACAGTAAGGCTCGAAATCGGTTTTGTACCAAATATAAGCTCCTGTCATGCTCAAATACCATGAATGGGGTACCGTTGGATTCAGAATTTCACGGGGGGTTAGCGAATCGTATTCTCCACTTTTGTTTTTCTTTCTAAAATAAATAAAGTCGATACAAACATTTTGCTAGGCTTCAATACTGGAACGGTGGTAGGTCTGTAGATCGATGCGGGACAAATTGGACCTTGAAGATTTTGATGCGTACAGCAAGACCCTGATAGTTCCTCCGGAACTATCGGATCCTGCGTTTTTAAGCCCAAAAACGTACTATTTTCGAGATAACGCAAGGCATAGGGTTCGCATCCACACAACCTTACATTAATTGTAGTACTGTCATTGAATACATGTCTCATTTCGTCGACTTGAGGTCTCTATGATCGAGACAGGAGGAGTTTATATTATTTATCGATGGTGTTTTTGATCGGCAAGCCATATCATCGTTAATTCTTCACCAAATCTCAAGATTGAGCCACCAATTTCGAAGGCTTCCTTCTCCTTCAGGCTGGCAAAATAGTCCAATCACCCCAAAAATTCAAGCAAACAAGTTATGAAAGAAAAGAAACTTTATTTGCGAATAACTAAAAAATTACACACTTTTCCCTTGGTTATTTCCATGATTATATAAAACATTACTAAATTTTCTACAAAAGCAAAAAAAATCATCGAAATCGGACAATTTTTCGCAAAGATAAAGCTTATTGAAATTTGTAAATATGTTGGTTCCAAACAAAAATTAAGATTTAAATTAATTTTGTTTCGTTTGTCGATTATATTAATCGATAAAGAAACAATTGATTCCTTTATCTTTTGATACGTTGCATTATTTTATTTTATTATTGATTTGGCATTTGATAACAATATGTTGTGCGAATTTTTCGCACGGGCCTACTAGTTGTAAATAGTTTGTTTTGGCGGGAATTACGAATAACCTTCCGCTTTTATATCGGGGAACTATGTTATTTACACTGGTGAATATTAAAACAAAACCCCGGCATTGGATATAGAATTTTGAGGGTGTTTAACTGTTGTTGGGAATTCGGGAATCTAATACCTTTTGTGATACTGAGTGACAAGAAACAATAAGAATATATATATAATGTGGAACTTAGTAAATACACTTTGAATGGATTTACTCACCTGGTTTGTTATTCTTCAATCGTGAGGCATATAGGACAACTAAATAAATAAATGACTTTTCACTCCTGTATAACTGTAAACGTCTGCCAAGTAAGGTCAGTATAGCTTCCTCACCGTTTCCGTTGTATATTAAAAGGTATACAATTTTTCCTATGAGAATAAAATCTCTGAGAGAAGAAGAATCGGAATAGCCGATTACAGTTACCCTTCAACATTCAACAAAAGAGTGTCGTATTTGAAGATTCCATACTTGATTATGCTTAATAAAAAAAAAAAAAAAATGCATACTGAGCATGAATACTGTTAGTGCAAAAGGTCTTACGTACAAATTTATTTATTGTTTTACAAGAGTGCATAAAAACTCATAATTTCTTTATGCTTTATTAGAATAATTTCATATTTTACTGTCATCTGCTATTTTCCATAGTAGCAGACTACTTATATCAGATGCAGACTACAAAATGTCACCATTAAACACATAGAATTAAAGCTGAAAATTTTTACATTCGAACTTTTGCTCTGATAATAGTGATATACACTACCGGATCCAGATTAAATTTTGGAGGAGGGGCTTCAGCCCGGAAGATTATATATATGACGATAATTAATTTGAAAATAAACCAATGCAAATTATTTCACTATGGTATATTATTTCCAAACAATTATACATATAAAGTAACATTAAATTCCTAGTTATAAAGAAAAATAAATAAAAGGTGATTCCAATTATTGGACTAAACTTTTTTTTAATCATTACTAATATGCTTAAAAATAGCATTAGTTCAGAAACATATTCAAAAATCAAAACACAAGATAAACCTTTTGCAATAGCACATCTAAAAAAAAAAACTATAGACCATATCTTTGCTCCTAATTGTCCGATTTTAACGATTTTTTTTGTTTCTTAGGAAATTCCACAAACTTATAAAAAACCATATACAATATTCGCAAAAATGTGTATACTTCTTGAGTTATTCGGAATTTAATTTTACCATCACTCGTAACTTTTTTTTGAGCTTCTTTTCGTTGAAGTATGTTATATAGATAAATTTAAAGGCCGTAGAGAAAATGACTTTAGCGAAGTTTCATTAAAATCGGTACATTCGTTTAGGCGCTACAGTCTATAGCAACGTAGGTTTTTCGGCCGCCATGTTGAAACAAGAAAGCGAATAGTTATCTCGTTGAAGGATGATCATCCTCTGGTGACCTCTGATTTTATATCCAAATTTAAAAACAATCGGTCCAGTAGTTTCGGAAAAAATGCGCGGACGGCGGACAGCGGGCTAGTAGTGCATATATAAGAGAAAGTGGTGGACAGAATTCAATAAAATTGACACTACGTTATTTTTTCACCAAAGTCTACCTTTTATCTAACTTTGAGCCAAATCGAACGAGCCCTTTCTGAAATATTGGCATATCTAAAAATATACGTTTGCGCGTGCGTTAGCGGAAGTGCTGGGTGGAATTTGATAAAATTGATATGGGACCATCTAGGCACCAATCAGCATAATCCCTGAAAATTTCATGAAGATAGGATGAACGGTACTAGGTGATATGCCCGTCACATCGATTTGACTACAGACAGACAGACGGACAGACAGACAGACAGACACCGAACCAAATTTGATCCTTGATGTCTGAAACGTAAAACGCGAGTGAAAATTTTCGATTCTGAGCAAAAAAAATTTTTTAATCTCTCGCACGAACACAATGCTTCCCTACCTTCGATAATGAGGAAGCAATAAATTGACTCTATTAAACTGTTATTATAACTACAGAATTGATCTTCCAAATCTTGTAGTAGACTTCTCTTCCCAGGTATGTCGTTCCGCCTCAATGTCTCAGCCTCAAGTGCCTTCTCCTCTCTTCTCCGGCGTCCTCCTCCAGCTGTTGCTATCTGCTCCGTCCTATCGCAACCTTCTTTCTTTACCGATATGAGACTTTTCAAGGAGTAACTTGCCCACTGCATAATAGAGTACAATTCATCGTACAACCTCACCTTCCTATATATTCCTTCTCATTCCCTCACACAATGTCACATAAAGAAGTAAATGCTGGGGCTATCTACTGCACCTGACTTGCTTCTTTCTCGATTCCTCGATGGTTCTCCTAGGCGTCTGAAAAGAAGATTGCCTCGTGCCAGATATTAAGAATTGCCGAGGTGCCAGATACTCTCCACAGCCTTCTATATCATTGATAAACATATGTTATAAAAATAATATTACGTATATTAACTTTATGAATTTTTTTTCGATATTAGAGTGTACTATTACATTATTATAGGTGTAGAATTGGAAAATGAAATCGAAATTAAGATCGATTCATTGATTTTCGATTTATTACAATATTCATAATTTTATTTATATCGGAGGTAAATATATTCTTAGATTATTAAATACTTTAGTTTTGATATTTACGAAAACAATATATAAAAGTTGATGAGAAAAAGAGGCGGGGGAGGATGCGTGATGAAGTGGTTGTTAACAGTATTTTATGATATAGCATCGTAAAATTATTAGAGTATATGTATTTCTTTTGTTGTTATAATTTGTATTCGTTGGCAATAATATATATTTTTGTCGTTGCGATTTATATTTATATTTATTTGAGTTCTACCAATGGGTAGTTTTTCTTCATGTTGTACATGTCATTTTACCAATGTCACATTTACGTGTTGTATTTTTCATGTAATACAGTTGTAAATTTCATTAAAATAAAAAATAAAAAAATTATATTACATCGTTGCCATATATGTGTATTTTCCTTTGTAATATATGTGTATATTTCATCGTTGCTAACTATATTGGTATATATATTCGTTTGCAATAATATATATTTCGTCGTTACAATTTAAATTTATATTCATATTCATTTTGTAATAATTTATATTCGTTTGCAATAATATATATTACTGTCATTACAATTTATATTTATATTTACTTGAGGTAGACAAGATGGGACCAGTTGAGACATGATATATGTAGGATGTCACAATATATGTATATATTTTCTTATATGTATATGTACATATTTTCTTATATGTAATATATGTATATGTATATATTATTCACAATATATATATATATATATATATATATATATATATATATATATATATGTATTATATTTACTTGAGGTAGACAAGATGATACAAGTTTTTACATGATATCGTAGGATGTCACAATATATGTATATATTTTCGTCGTTACAATTTATATTTATATTTACTTGAGGTAGACAAGATTATACAAGTTTTTACATGATATCGTAGGATGTCACAATATATGTCTATATTTTCGTCGTTACAATTTATGTTTATATTTACTTGAGGTAGACAAGATTATACAAGTTTTTACATGATATCGTAGGATGTCACAATATATGTCTATATTTTCGTCGTTGCAATTTGTATTTATATTTACTTGAGGTAGACAAGATTATACAAGTTTTTACATGATATCGTAGGATGTCACAATATATGTCTATATTTTCGTCGTTACAATTTATATTTATATTTACTTGAGGTAGACAAGATGATACAAGTTTTTACATGATATCGTAGGATGTCACAATATATGTATATATTTTCGTCGTTACAATTTATATTTATATTTACTTGAGGTAGACAAGATGGGACCAGTTGATACAGGTTCAGACTTGTCGAACTTGAAAATGAAAAAATTCAAATTAGGATTAAGGATTAAGATTAATCAAAATAGATTATATTGGTCACGTGGTGTACAGGTGGTTAAGGTAAGAATAGCCCAGGGGAGGGATTAAAGTGGCCTAGAACCGCCATTTATATCCTTAATTCTTACCTAGAATTAAATAGGAAGTGCTACCACTGGGCAGTATTTCTTCGTCTGTTCATGTCATTATTTCTAATGTTTGCATTTTTACTGGTTGTATTATTTAATTAAATAAATAACAAGATAAATAAAAATTATATTAATTCTAACAAGGAGAACACTGTTGCAGGTGGAAGGCGGTCTGCTATCACTACGTTCGACGGAAGAGGCAGGTTACCCGCTACCGGAACGGTGACGCCGTCACGTCAACTCACGTCTACTACGAGCGCGTCAACTCGCACGCCGCAGCAGGCTCCTTCGTCTTCGCCTACTGCGGAGTTCGAGACATCTCGAGGAAGCTCGTTCTTGGCAGGACCAAGGGATCCATCACCAAGATAAGGTTCAGCAAGGGTCAGTTAGTACATAAGCATTTTATTCTTATTTTTTTCCCTTTTAATTAATAATTTCTAATTATCTCATGCAGAATGAGATTTATTGAGGATTCTTTCTTGGGTTCAGAATAAATCTGCAACTAATAGCTTCCAAGTGATCAGAATCACTGAGTCAGCTACAGGGGACTGATGAATGCACCAACTAAGCCACAAGTCAAATAGTGAAGGCAAGACTTGTCCCTATGGTGACGGCCCAGCTATTGCTCCAATCATGATGTATCCAACACGTTCAATCATTACTGATCATTTTAGCCCAGGGAATTGGAGTTAAAATAATTACTTGCCTGAAAATCGTTTTGACAATATTTAGAAAAATATAAGTCAACTACTTACAAAAATTAAGGAAAAGTATTTCGTAAATCATCAATTTGTTAAGAAAAATTAAAAAAGAACTGACAAATATACACAACTGTTAAAGCTTTTTTTTTATATAACTAAGTTGTGAAGTTACCAATTTTTTTTTCTTAATTTATTGCTCTCTTGACTAAAAGTTGAAAAGGGTTTATAAAAATATAAACTAGGGATATGAAAAACTATTTACTTTCATGAAATTATTTACTTAATGAAAATCAGTAATGTACAATTGTTAAGCCTAGGGTAAACCTACCTATCTAGTAAGTTTAGTTTCGTAGAAAATCGTTTTGACAAAAGTTAGACTAATATAAGTCTACTAAAAAACCTGTACTACTACAATCCATGAGGATCTTGGGTTCAGTACTGTTGCAAGGCCAACGGTTGTGCAGGAAGGAGATAAGTCCAGGATCACGCTCAACCCTCAGGTTTTTCCCCTTAATCAATAATTTTATTAAGAGTACCCACTTTGTAAAGGCTGGGTGTGCCCTTGGAGTATCGCCCCATGGCCAATGAAACAGAATAAATAATTTTTCTGCCATGATCCGGGATTCGAACCTGGGACCTTGAGGATTTGAACCTTAGTGCCCTACAACTGAGATACGGTAATATACGTCTACTACTTGCATATACCCATATGCATATACCCCGTCCGCAGCAGTAACCCAATTCTTAACGGGAAGGCATGTATCCCCTCCTCAGTCAAAGGGCTTGGAGAAAATCCACGAACGAATGCGTTTAAAAAATTCTCCTTTCGGATGCTACATATCTTGAAAAGTATAATCTCAAATATTGACAAGCTGTTTTCTCATCGATTATAAAGTCATTATTGAAAATAATAAACTAATTTAAGATGCGAGAGGACTATATTTAGATTTGCCAACGACTTATATACAATCTTGTGGAAAATTCTTTGGAATAGTTTTGCTTTGATAAGATTCTCAAAGGAACTTTAAATAAGTGTTACATCGTCCTTCACTATATCGTTCCTGAGTCTAGCAGACCCGGTACGAATCCGGCAGGGTGAGTTGAAATTTATTTCGAAGCGGATCTACGGAATGAATCTCGATCCCATACGCCAAAAATGGCAAAGTAGAAGATAATAGAGTAAAGAAGGAATTCAACATGATAATCGTCATAAACATTACAGTTATACTAATTTAACTTATTCATAAAATTAACTATGAATATTAAACAATTATAAAAATTTATAAGAAAAATCTTACAATTTATTACAAGAGACATGAATAGAATATCATTAATTTGATTGTAATAAATTGGTTTGTATGTTATGTCGTTACTGCGTGGGAATATTTCTTATTTTTTCTTTTTCCCTTTTCCTTTTTTACCTCCCTTTTTCCCTTTCTTTCCCTTCTTATCTTTGTCATCTTGTTTTTTAACAGTTTCTGGAAGTTCTTCAAATGGTTTAGCACCTTTCTCTGTAAAAAAAAGTTATTATTAATGCATTCTTACCTGTACACATCTGCTCATCATACTTGTACATGGCTAACCATAAATAGCCGAATGGATCCAAAAATATTAATAGGGTGTATAAAAAAAAATTACCGTTTTTCAACCAAATATTTGTATTATTATTTCTTGGATATAAAATACAATTAATACTCAAAGAATATTCCATTGTTATCTACCATCATTAGCCATCTGCTCGATCCCACGCTGATACAATTCTTTGGGATGGCTGTCAAAGAATTCTTGGATGCAATTTCAACTTCTACAAAATCATCACATTTTTTCCCTTCGAGAATTTCTTCTCCCCCCGCTCCTACTTTCAGTACTTCATGTACAAGTGTGATCGAAGTGATTTTGGCCTCCCGTTATCCAGACAGAGCACTTTTAAACTAGTACCAAATTTATTATTAAATGTAATACCACTGTACAAGGTCTGATGAGGTTCAAAGATGAAATCATGCAAAAAATAAGAAACCATCACGCATCCAAAGACATCGACAGAGTGTTAAACTCTAAATCAAACCCAAGATATAGAAAAATCTGCTCCTTTAATGTTACCAGACCAGAGGATTATCTTCAGTTCAGGGCTCTGAATTTAAACAAATTAAGAGCCGTTAGTCGTCTCAGAGTAGCAAGTAAAGATTTTATGAAAATATACTTAAAAGATGCTACTTTGAATATTAAATCCTGTGAGGTATGTCGTGCATGCAACTGCCTTGAAACTGACCCGGTAACTCATTTTCTGATCCAATGTATCAAGTTCAACGAACCGAGAAATAAGTACTTTAAGGCATTTATCACTGAATCCAGAGAAGATGCAAGTGTGGAGGAGATACTGAAAATAGACACTATGAAAAAAATATACCAACTGTATTATTTCATACAGGGCTGTTGATTTAACTGTTAAGTGGTATAGTTAATCATATAACATATATTGATGCTCATTTATATTGTCATTTGTCTTATACCTCTCGAATATTAAAAAAAAAAATGCTTTACTAATTGTTATGTATGTATATATATATATATATATATATATATATATATATATATATATATATATATATATATATATATATATATATATATATATATATAAATCGTTTACTAATCTGTTATTATATTAGTCATACTTAACGCTGTGGACACGCTGTGGACATTGTTAATGTTATGTTTGAATGCAGTACTAGACTCAAGATCTAACATTGTTAATTATACCATTATATTTATTTGTACAGGAATTTCCTTAGACAAATAAAATAAACTATCTATCTAACTACTGTACAAGTGTGTGCTCCACTTGAAGGAATAGGCCAAGATTGCACATTTCGGCCAATCTTGAGATCATAGCATCTTGTACTTTTATTAAAGTGGCCTTTGTTAAGGAGATCTTGATTAAGGCAACCTTTGATTAGATATGCTTTGTCGGAGACCTTAATTAAGGTAACCTTTGTTAAGAAGATCTTAATTAAGGTAGCCTTTGTTAAGGTTGCATTTGTTAAGTTCATATGTCTTAAGGAGACCTTAATTAAGGCAAACTCCTCTGTTAAGGAGACTTTCATCAAGGTAGCCTTTATGAAGGAGACCTTTGTTAAGTGTCCCTACAATGTGGTGATCTTTGCTAAGGAGACTTTAATTAAGGTAATCTTTGTCGCCTGGTGTGTCCTTTATTAGAGTCACCTGGATTAAGGTAACCATTGTTAAGGTGTCTGCTGGTCATAAGATTTTCGAGAGTTGATTTTAGTGTTGTTCTGGAAGAGCTAAACTCAAACCTATTTTTTTTTTTTTTTTCAGAGAGGAACTAAACATGTACAGTTAGTTCATAATCACTGTTGAATCATTTATATTTTAAATTTTATAGTGTGTATATGAAATATAGCTAGAAGCTGAATTAAAAAGAAGATGTTTAGTAACTTCAATTACTTTCTAAAATACTTACTTTGTACTTTCTTGGGCATAAAGTCCTCCTCATCGTACTGGCTGAACATGTGAGTTTTGTCTACCTTCCGCTTCTTCTGCTTCATGGCCGCTGGAGCAATGTATTCCACTTCGTAGGATGAGCTGTCGGAAGAGGTGTCCGTTGAAGAGAGGCAGGGTTCATCTCCGGGCGGTCGGCCGTCAGGATGTTTCCTGTCTATCTTAAATTGAATAGGTTGTGGCTCTTCTCCCATTTCCTCCTAAGAAATACCATCGCTCGTTTCACATAAATTTCATCTTATATTCACATATCATATATATACCTTATTATATGCATCTTATATACACATATATTTATTTGAACTTTCTCGTATAAAAACTTAAATATTGATGTTATTATATTTTTCATTGATTCATCTTATAGAACTATTCCTCACCTTACCTAGGTAGATTGCAAAAACCATGAAACATTCATCATAATTTTAAAAAGTTGAAAATTAAGAAAATAGTTTTGTTGTGCCAATAGCTGACTCTGTTTGATTTGTAATGTTCCTATAGCTGACAGAGATGAGAATAATGATGTAATTAAGCGAAATTATATATTTTTCATTTCAAGGATAACAAAAAATACCTTTAACTTATTATAAAATTAACTTCTTTAGCGTTTCCTGACTTAAATTTGTCAATAAATGCTGGTCGCTGTCAAGAACCTGTTTTTGTCGATAGGGGAACCTATTGGTTTCAATAATGAACCATAGTAATGTAACAACAAATTTAAAAACGTATTATGTTGGAAAAACCATGAAACACTCATCATAATTTTAAAAAGTTAAAAATTAAGAAAATAGTTCTTTTGTGCCAGTAGGTGACACTGCTTAATTTGGAATTATGAATAGCTGATAGAGATGATAACAAGGATGTATAATTAACTGAAATTTCATCTTCCTCATTTTAATAATAACAAAAATTATCTTTAACTCATTAAAAAAGTAACCTCTTGACGAACTTTCCTAGTGAATTTATCAATAAATGCTGGTCACTGTTTTTGGCAATAGGAAAACCTATTTTTCTTTAAATTTAATCGAAATCATTAGGTTTTTTTTTTTAACGAGACAGTAGAAGAAGAAGAAAAATAAATTTTATTCTGGGACTAAGTCCCCTTAGAATAAATACACTGTACAATTTAATGGCAATTGTCTGAAATTGAAAATAAATTAGATTAAAAGATTGTCTAGATCTCAGAATACAATAAAGAAAAGGCAATGTTAGATATATGAGATCATAGATAAATTCAGATATGCGAGTTCACATATTTTAAAACATAAACAATGTGGGTGATATATAATTATCGGAAATCGACTATTGTTAGACATAGGGACTTAAAAAAACAAAACAATCTAGAAAAATGTCTTCATTCAAGTTTTTCTGTTTACGCAGGGCTATGTTCAGTGGGCACTGTTACACCCTATCTTAATGATAGTTTTAATATTGTGACTATAGGGTCAATTTTTCGATGTAGGACAGAATTGCTCGATTTAAGCGTAAAATCATGGATCGTTGGGGACAACGATTCCTGTCCGGTATGTAACTCTCAAGAAAAAGAGGATATCATTCACTTTTTGGGGACTTGCCACATGTACAGTGAGTTAGGACAGAAAAGTTTTGGGCAGCGGACCTGTTCTCCGGAAGAATTATTTGGTTTCTTAAAGGGTTCCAACTGGAAAGCCTTAAGCAATTATGTACAGCAGGCCACGTTGCAAAGATCTCAATTAGTCAGATAGTAAACTATTGATACAATATCGTGTTATTATTTATTTTAACGTTTGTTTTATTGTTATATTTGATGATTATTATTATTGTTGAATTTAAATTTCTTATTTATTGGATTTGTGATGTATTAATGTTTGTTTTTTTGAAAATTCTATTTAAACAGATGAGACAGTGAGAAAGAAAATTGCTAGAATGGATGTATAAAACCATAATAATACTGTAGATATATTATTGCTCATTTATTTTAGTTATAAATGTGATGAATATTTATTATTAATTACCCACAGACCTTGACAGACTGAATTTTCCATTGTCTATGTGTTGTTGCTTATATATATACATATATTTTACTTTGTGTAATTTTTTAAAAAGTTTAATAAACACGTTTTCATTCATTCATTCAACAAAATGGCCTCTATAGTTTTGGCAATCCAGTTTGTCTCCTTTTTTATGAATTGGTAAAACAACAGCCACCTTCCATTCTTCTGTCATTACCCCCTTCATCCAAACAAGGCAGCCATAATCGAAATGAGGGAAAATTATTGAGGAAACTAGGAGCTGACGGATTTCAAGAGGCATGTAATCACGGAATCTCAGGTACTGTTTGAGGATAGCAATGGATTTTCAGATTATTTGTGAAATATGATTATTCCAGGAAAGATATTGATCAAACATTACCCCAAGGTTTCTAATGGAAGAGTGGAAACGGATAGATATTCCATTGAGGTAGAAAAGGGGATAATAAGGTGTGGAATTAATTAGATGCTTAGAACCAATAAGAATGGCTTTGGTCTTCTCAACATTAAACTTTAAATAGTTGCTCACTGCTCAAGTATTGATACTATCAATTTATCACAGTAATGAATGGACCCATTAGTAAGACTTCATAAATAATTGGTATAGAAAGTATACTTGAGCATTTGGGGGCGGGGTGGCCGAATGGACTAAAGCGTGTGCACAGCACCGCGAGTTGCCTGGCAACTGGATAAACAGATTTGAGAAAATTAAAAGGTATGAGTTCGCGTCCCGGTGCCGGACGGGATTTTAAATTCCCCGCTCTCACCTCCCGGCCCGGGAAAATCCCGTATAGCCTAAAAAGCGAGATAGGGAAGAACAAAAAAAACAATACCTGAGCATTTAACTCTTCTAATTTTTCATTCTGGCTTAGTTAGGTTTCTCTTATCTAAAAAATTACTGTAACATCTGTATAGAAATAAGCTAATAGACAACTGCAAGACTGTTGTGAGACTCTTGTGCAAGACCAAGACTGAGTGCGCAAAACCAAGACTCGTTTTGGTCTCGCATTTAGGCAACGCTAATCTTCTTGCATTCTTGATACTTATTTAACTTGTCAGCATAAGATATCCAGGCCACTGTCTTTTTAGTCGTCGTTGAGGCTCAGAAGGTAACAGAGATAGAGACAAAACGAGTATATTTGGATTGAGAGTAGAGGAATGATGTTGTGTACTTGTTGTGTATGTAGGATTTTACTTTTGGTAAGTTCATGTCTGTGTGTATGGTATGATTCGAAATAAACCAAGGAGCATTGACGATTTTACGAAGTATTTTGGATTGTGTGTGTTTTGCGGATCCCCAAAGTTCTGCTCCGTATGTCCAAATAGGTCTTAGTATGGTGGTGCAGATTAGTCGCTTGTTATTAGAGTAATTTGTTAGATACGTAACACATTATCCTTTTCGCATTTAATTTTATGAAATGTTACATAATGACTTTTTGTAATAAAAACAACGAAATAATCATTCATTGAATAGTAAATATGAAATGTTACCTGAGATTCGGTCTTCACAGGATACATGGAGACATAATAGAACCTATCCTTCTTGTGAAGATGGATCGTCGGGTTGAGTTTCATATTGTCAGGATCCTTCTTAGATCCTGTGCTCTTCGGCGTTGTAGGTCTAGTCCTCTTCGTCTTCGTGGATATCATCAACATGTCCAGATCCTGTTCCGGCTTCATGTCTCTGTTTCCTTTGTTTGCGGTCCTCCATTCTTTGAGGAGATTGTTTACGTTCCTACGTACCGCACCAGGACGCCAACCTCTTCCAGGCTAGAACATGATAACTTATAAATTCAATAAATACTAATAAACTCAAATAAATTTACAATAATATATTTGTAATGATTACAAAATATATTTTATTGAGAAAATATAAAATAAGACTAATAATATACAACAAGAGAAACCTGTCCACGGAAGCAAAAATACGACACTACAATACAGTTGTTAAACCTATGATACTATACGGGACGGAAACCACATGCTTCCCCAGTCTGGAAAAATTGTTGAGAATAGAGCGAAGAATTCTAAGAAGGATTCCTTGTATATATCCAATCAGGAAATATACAAGGACACAAGAGATCTAAAAACGGAAATAAGGATCAGGAGACTGAAATTCCACGGACATATGGTAAGAATGGCCCCAGAAAGACTTAACAAGGAAATATCCCAAAAAATCCGTAGATACAGAAGCTTGGGAGGATACATCAGACAGATGAAGGAAGAAACGGAAAGACGTGGAATAACGGACCAGGACTCTCTGAACAGAGAGGGGTATGGTAAGAGACTAAAGGAGATCACGGTTCTTGCTAAGAAGAAAAGTTCGAGAAAGGCAGTCGCGTGGACGGAGAAGAGAAAGCGGCGGTACTCGGAGATAATGAGAGAGAAGTGGAAAGAAAGGAAAACAAGAAAGAAGCCAAATGTCATGATATTTGCGTGGTCTCTATGGCCATTCCGTGAAAAAAAAAGAGTCTAATTAACTTTTTAATTAAAATAATGGACTCCAAACAATTTCCATTTGAATCAAACTATTAAAAAAGATTTTGATGAGTAATATTTTTAATAGTATTGTGCTCATATTAAGGTCCTGAAAAGGGGCAATAATTCTTTACGAAGAAGTATAATTGAATCTTGTGAAACAATAACACATATACAGTTCTGCCACTGTTGCTGTTGAATAAATATGCCCCGAACCTGTCTTAATGCTCAAGGGAATGCAATGAACAACATTTAATACGAATTTAATTTCACGAATTTACATTTAATTGATAAAATAGTTGGAACAAATAAATAAGTTTTATTTACTAAGTATGATTTAGTTCACTTCACAGGCAGATTTACGGAGGGGGGGGGGACTTTCGGGCTGAAGCCCCCTCCCCAAAATAGTAAAATGTAACTATGTTTTATGGTAAAAAATATTAAAAAATTATGTCTTATTGGTAGTTTAATTACAAATAATAGGACTTTAAGAATCACTTTAACACCATATCATATTGATAGCTAGTATTTTTCTGTTTTTCTAAAGTAATTATTGTTATATATATGAAAAAGAAAATTTCCGGGCTGAAGCCCCCCCCCAAAATTAAATCTTGGATCCGCTAGTGCCCCATTTCGACTATTGCTGTACGGTATATGGGGGCGTCTCTGGGGATTTCGGGGCGAAACTAAAACGTTTGATAAATTGCTTTGTACGATTCATCTTCGGGATACTAAGGGAGGCCTCTGTTTCCCATTTTTATGCAGAGTTGAAGTGGCTTTACCCTTCCTACCGTCTTAAGTATTTCCTAGCATCCTTCCTCTTTCAAGTCATCGAATCCCACCGTCCTTCATACATCTCCGAGCTCCTTCAATTCAAATCCTCTGTTCGTTCCCGTAATACTCGTTCACGGTCTTCTGACTTCTACTTAAGGGCCCACCATCGACAGATCTTTCATTATTCGATCCTCATCCCTGTGGAACTCCATCCCATCTCACATTCGACTATCTAATACCCTTCCTACCTTTAAATTCTGTCTGTTCAAAAATTTCTTGTCCATCCAGTCCCCATGAAAATGTAAATAGATACTAATGTAAATATGTATATTAATTATTAGCTCGTTCTTCATTATTTTTACTTCATCTTTTTTTTTTAATTTTGAATTTTTTATTATTATCTGATTAAAATTAGAAAGTAACTTATAATTTTTAATTTTATTACTATTTATTATCGTTATTTTGAAAATTTGGGGGCGTAGGTCACGCCAAACGGCTCAATAATTTTGAAGGCCACCTTTTTTTTCGATTTTGTGATCAAATTATCTTACGATCCAAGTTGAAAGTAAATAAATATTTACGAGTTGATTAAATAGACGAAGTTTACCCCCCTCAGGAATGAAAACGCCCCAATTTCAATAGTTTTCTTATATAAAATAGTTGTAGGTTACGCTGAGGTGAAAGTATTCATTAATTTTCAGACGAATGTAAATAACTTGATAAAAAGGGGTCTGCACCACGGACTATTAAATAATACCTGTTTTTCAAAGTAAGTAAAATGCTTTATAGTCCTGGAGCCCGTGGCAAAAAAATATGGCAGATTTCATACTAAAGTTTGTCCTTATAAATTGACCATGTCCACAGACCTGATGATAAAAATGCATGTCTGCCAGCATATAGCCGCTAGAATACAAAATGGCGGTCATGTGAATACAGAAGAGGCCCTACATAGGTTGTAAGCGTATATATAGAAAGGGCTTATAGATATATAAAGCTACAAACCATTCCAATATTTACAGACATGAAATAATAGTCAGTTACCCCATACCCATGGGTTTTTTCGCGTATATCTGTGATATATCATTATTTGAGTCGCCGACTCTTTATTTTAGGAAAACGTCATGTGGAAGAAAGTTATTTCATATTAAATTTTCTTTAAGAATATATATTATTTTATAATCTTATCTTCAACCATTCCAAGCCTAGAGCAATTATAATTTAATGATTAAACTCCGAAATCATACAGAATAACTTACTTTACTTTTCGCAATTTTCGTTATTACACAGCTCTTAATCTGTGTATAAGACAGTATATATGTGTGTGTGTGTGTGTGTGTCTGTGTGTGTGTGTGTGTGTGTGTGTGTGTGTGTGTTTGTGTGTGTGTGTGTGTTTGTGTGTGTGTGTGTGTGTGTGTGTGTGTGTTTGTGTGTGTGTGTGTGTGTGTGTGTGTGTGTGTGTATGTGTGTGTGTGTGTGTGTGTGTGTGTGTGTGAGTGTGTTTTATCTTTTCTTAAAATGAAAAGATAAATAGTTGGCGAGTCGAATAATGAGAAAAATGCATTGCAAACATTTTTCTTTCGAAATTAGTGATTTACGAGGACGGATATCACGGTAATTATTGAATATAGTGAAAAAAATTATTTAAAAAGTTCTACTACAAATTTTGACAGCATTAATTTCACATATCACATTATTATAGATAAAATCCATAGTTTCACTGATATAAGAGAAAAACAGAATAACTTACATTTCCCAATTTTCGTTATTACACAGCTGTTAATATCTATATATAAGACAGTACATATATGTATGTATATTATGTAAACCTATGTATACACATGTATATTGTCTTATATACAAATAAAGAGCTGTGTAATATAGAAAATTTTGAAAAGTAAGTTTTTCTGTATAGTTTCGCAGTTTAATGATTAAGTTATAATTGCTCTCGCCTTTGAAAGGTTGAGGAAAACATAGTAGAAACATATATATTCTTAAAGAAAATTTAATATTAAATAACTTTCTTCCGCGTGACGGTTTCGTAAAATGAAAAAATAAATATTTGGCGAGTCAAATATTGATAAAAATGCAATGCAAAATTATTTTTTTTCGAAATTAGTGAATTACGAGAACGCATATCACGGAAACTAAAGAATATAGCGAGAAAAAAAATAATATAATTATTTCTATTGAAAATTCTATCAGCTTTAATTCCATAAATGACGTTACTATAGGCAGAACGCATAGTTTCACTAATACATGTGAAAAACGTTTTGGATCGTAATTTTTTTTTTCTCACCTATATCAATGAAACTATGCGTTCGATCTATAATAATGAGATGTGTGAAAACAAAGCTGATGAAATTTGCAATAGAGATGGTTATATTAGTTTTTTCGCTATATTCTATAAACATTCTTATCATTATTTGACACGTCAATTCTTCATTTTACGAAAAAGTCATATGGAAGAAAGTTATTTCATATTAAATTTTCTTTAAAAATATATATATTATTTTTTAATCTTATCTTCAACTATTCTAAGCCTAAAGCAATTATAATTTAATGATTAAACTCCGAAACTATACAGAATAACTTATTGTTCGCAATTTTTTTATTACACAGCTCTTAATCTGTGTATATGTGTGTATTATGCAAGTCAATGTATACGTATGTATGTTCTCTTTTTCTTAAAATGAAAAGATAAAAGTTAGCGAGTCAAATAATGTTAAAAATGCAATGCAAACATTTTTTTCTTAATTAGTGATTTACGAGGACGGATAACAAGGAAGCTTAAAAAAAATATAACAAGTTCTACTGCAAATTTTGTCAGCATTAATTTCACATATCACATTATTATAGAAAAAACGCATAATTATACTGATATAAGCGAAATACCAAAATCAGTAAACTTTTTGAAACGTAAATTCAATTTCCAGAAACTGTATAATATTCTAATCGAGCAGGGGATTCCAAAAAAACTAGTAAATCTAGTCAGGATGTGCTTGACGGAGACACTCAATAAAGTTAGAATCGGTAATAATTTGTCCGAAAAATTTGAGGTTCGTTCGGGCTTAAAACAGGGGGATTCTCTTTCGCCTGTCCTGTTCAATTTGGCATTATAACATGCCATTAGGGAGGTAATGCGAACCGAGAAAGGGTTGGATCTGGGCGGGACAACATCCGTGCTGGGCTATGCTGATGATCTGGTACTGTTAAGCGAAGACGTTGAAACTATAAAACTAAATACGACAACGTTAATGAAAGCCGGTAAAGAACTAGGACTCGAAATAAACGTGGATAAAACAAAATATATGGTTAGCTGCAAAAATGGCGATACTACCGGTGATATCGATATAGATGGTAATATGAATGCTGAATGGAATGCTTGTTTTTTTTCTGTGACAAAACTACTTAGTTCGCGCCTCTTGTCCCGAAACTTAAAAATTAGAATCTATAAAACAATTATCTTGCCTACAGATCTTTATGGATGCGAAACTTGGCCGCTTACATTAAGGGATGAGCAGCGTCTTAAGGTTTTTGAAAATAAAGTATTGCGTAGAATATTCGGACCGAAGAAGGATGAATTAACCGGAGTGTTCAGACGGTTACACAACGCCGAATTGCGTGAGATGTATCCGGGTAATATAATTGAGGTAATTTCATCGCGGCGAATCAAATGGGCTTGTAAAGCTGTTGGGCTTGGTAACGAGAGAATTCCTAAAAGGTTAAGATTTGCTGTGCCGAATGGTAAGCGTCCGAGGGGTAGACCAAAGCGTAGGTGGGAAGATTGCATTAAAGCCGATCTGAAGGGAATGGGTTTGGACGGCGAACGGTGGAGGGAGGTGTGTAATAAGCGATTGGTGGTGTCGGCTTCGAACCTTTGGGTTCGCTAAGCCTTATTATTATTATTATTATAAATTCAATTTCAATCTTCGTAAATGACTTGAAATCAATGAGTATGGGGTAGCTGACTTTTATTCCATGTCTTAAGACTGTAGAGAGAGAAATACTTTATTACAAGTAATGCTGCCCTACTACATAGGGTTGCTTCGTACACAGCATACTTAGCAATCCACACAGATATTAATTATATATTATATTTTTCTATTATATATATATATATATATATATATATATATATATATATATATGACAGATCATGCCTTCATTTTTTTTTCTTCTTCCCTTTCATAACAATACACTTACAATTTATCAACAATAAAACTATATTAAACAATATGCATAGCACAATAAACATTTCCCCAAGACAAAAAAAAAAAATTTCTTTTCCTCTTTAAATTCTCAAACGCCAGGAACTCATTACAACATCGCACACAATTATAACACAGCAATTCCTCTAATGTAGACAAAAATATAAGACGATTATAGACAAATTTAAAATTTAATTAACAATGAATACAAGACGTCCTCAATCAGTATATAGATGACACTGGATGATCCCCAGGGAGTCCAAAATAACATTTTCGGCCAATACCGCGAGCTCCCCAACATCAACTTCTAGTTCCTCGAGAAAGCTCCTTGTTCTTTTTGGAATCGTTCAGCGAGACTCAAACCAGAGTCCTCTCACGGTGAACTCTCTCTTTCTAAATTGAAAGGCTTGGTAGGTTTATATATCTATAAGCTCTCTCGATATATACGCTTATACACTTACAACCTATGTAGAGTCTCTTCTATCTTCACAGGACAGCCATTTTGTATTCCAGCGGCTATATGCTGGCAGACGTGCATTTCTCATTCCTCATCAGGCTTGTGAATATGATCAATTTATAGGACAAAACTTAGTATGAAATATGACACCTTTTTTGGCAGGTGCTCCCAGACTATTAAGTCAGAAGTAAATTCTTGTAAATTATGAAAATGAATCTAAATGACTATTTGGAAGAAATATGATTAACAAAGTTACATAGAACGTTTCATCTTTGCCTTAGGCCAAATTAAGACAAAATAAAATTGAACCGAAAATGTTCAAAGAATAAAAATTACGCAGTTGTTTTTTCTTAATGACTTTTGCATTAATTGTGACTGTCGATATATTCATTGCAGCTCTCATTCCATTGCCTTATTAATGAATCCCCACATATATTATTACAGTAAGGCTAGAAATCGGTTTTGTACCAAATATAAGCTCCTGTCATGCTCAATTACCATGAATGGGGTACCGTTGGATTCAGAATTTCACGGGGGGTTAGCGAATCGTATTCTCCAGTTTTGTTTTTCTTTCTAAAATAAATAAAGTCGATAAAACATTTTGCTAAGCTTCAATACTGGAACGGTGGTAGGTCTGTAGATTCTCCGGAACTATCGGATCCTGCGTTTTTAACCCCAAAAACGTACTATTTTCGAGATAACGCAAGGCATAGGGCTCGCATCTACACATCCTTACATTATTGTGGTACTTTCATTGAATACATGTCTCATTTCGTCGACTAGAGGTCTCTATGATCGAGAGAGGAGGAGTTTATATTTTTTATCGATGGTGTTTTTGATCGGCATGCCATATCATCGTTAATTTTTCATCAAATCTCAAGATTGAGCAATTTGGAAGGTTTCCTTCTCCTTCAGGCGGGCAAAATAGTCCAATCACCCCGAAAATTCAGACAAACAAGTTATGAAAGAAAACAAACTTTATCTGTAATAAATAAAAAATTACACACTTTTCTCTTGTTATGCCCATGATCATTGTAGTAGATAGCCCCCTGTATTTACTCCTTTCGATGACAATGGGTGAGGGAATGAGAAGGAATATATAATATATAATATATAGGAATGTGAGGTTGCACTGTGAATTGTACTCAATTGTGCAGTGGACAAATTGCTCATTGGAAAATCAAATATCGATAAACAATCGAAAAGAAGAAAAAGGGTCCGATCAGGTAGCGACAGATGGTGAGGACGACGCCAAACACTTGAGGCCTGGACACCAACACAAGAAGACGTCATCTGGGAAGAGAAGCTTACTACATTGAAGACCAAGATTATCAAACCGACCGTTCACTTATATATATTCATTTATTATCAGTCTTTAAAATGAATTGTTTTGTTAGACAGGAGTGAATAGTCATTTTATTTAGTTGTCCTATAGGCCTCACAATTGAAGAATAAACCAGGTGAGTAAATTCATTCAAAGTGTTTACTAAGTCCCACATTTCATATATGTATTCTTATTGTTTCTTCTCACACAGTGTCACAAAAGGTAATAGATCCCCGAATTCCCAACAACAGTTAAACACCCTCAAAAAGTCGATATCCAGTGTCGGGGTTTTGTTTTAATAATTCACGAGTGTAAATAACCAAGTTCCCATAAAAGCGCCGATTCCCGCCAAAAACTAATCATTTACAATTAACTTCCTGTAGGTTATTTACATCATATGAAAGATTACTAAATCCCTTATAAAAGGAAAACAAAATCATCGAAATCGGACTATTTTTAACAAAGATACAGCTTACTGAAATTTAAATGTAGATTTAAATTAATTTTTGTTTTCTTTGTCTTTTGTTATATTTATCGATAAAGTAACATTTGATTTCTTTATCATTTGATACCTTGTATTATTTTATTATTAACTAGCTTTGCCCGGCCACGCGCTGCTCTGGCTTAGCCTGGCAAAATGAAAAAGAAAGAAAATAGAAAGCACATATGAGTAGATTAGTAGCAAAGGACATCTGTCATTTTTAAAAAGTTGGGAAACAAATGTTTCTGTAAAATAGCTTCAATTGAAAGTAATTCTAATTGTTCTTTTTCTCATGATTCAAATTGAACATTCATAATCATCTGAGTAAATACGCCTTCAATCAAAATCATCAGAAACAGTCTCAGTTGAACTTATAAAACTAAATTAAAAAATTAATTTAAAAAACGTATAATAGTATTGACCTACATAAGGAGAATCATATAACTTCTTCAAATGATGATTTCAATTACTGTAGTAATTATAAAATATTGGATTAAACAAAAAAAAAATTTTTTTTTAAATTCTTGCCGACGTTCGGTAGTGAGGAAGCAAAAGGAAACGGCCTTTCTGAAGAGAAACCAGTAAATGTTTAAAACTCAATAACTCTGCAACGAACCGTCCAATTTCGATGATTTTTTTTTTTTTTTGTCAGCTATTAAAAAAACTTTTATATAAATATGGGTATTATCAGTCAAAACTTGTCTACTTCTTTAGTTATCGTCAAATAAAATATTGAATTCATCGTAACATTTTTCAGCTTGTTTTTGGGAAAATATGTTATACACATAGATTAAAAGGTTTTCAAGGGGAAGACTTTGGCCAAGTTTCGTTAAAATTGGTAAAGCCGTTTTGGCACTACAGTTTATAGCGACACATTTTTTGCGGCTTTGAACAGAAAAACATTTACATTTTTATTTTTTTTACATATATATCGTAAGACAGAAGTACTATGCCAGAAACCTTCCCAGGAGTGTACGGAACAACTTCCCAAAATTTCATGGCGATCGGTTGAATGGTTTAGTAATGCACTAAGAACAAACAGACAGACAGACATACATTCATTTATATATATATATATATATATATATATATATATATATATATATATATATATATATATATATATATTTGGCATTTGATAACAATATGCTGTGCGAATTTTTCTTTTAGAATACTATTTTGAATAATTAATAATAATTACCTTAAGCGCACCGCCAAGATCAGAAACATTCCAGAGCCACCCCATCGTCTTTGGAACCAGTCTTAGAGGTCTCACACAGTACTTGTGTCCCACGTGAATTCCTGGGTACATGCCTGCCGTGTACTCGTATATATTGCTTGCTCTTACTTTAGCTTTCACCTTTTGTTCTTTCTTGGTCAGAGCAGGTTTTGCTGGGCTTGATGCCTTTTCATCAGGTGCTTTTCCACCATCAGTCTTGACACTATTCCTCCTCTCGATATCTTTTGTAGTTTCTTCCTTCTTTTCTTTTTCGCTCTTGGTAACTGCCGGTGGTTTCGTTTCCACGTTTTCGACCGGTACAGTATTCTTCTCTTCCAATTTTTTAGCCTCCTTTTCGAGGCCTTTTTTTACTTCATCCGGCATCTTGGTCGGCTTAAGACCAGCCAGCGGGTTGGGGTCGATGTATTTCCTCACTTGATCGAACTCGCCCATTTCTTCAGCTCTTTTAAGGTATCTCTTTAAATCGTAGCCGCATTCCTGACTTGTGAGAGCGATGTGGGTTGACGAATCAGCACCCGGTAGGAAAAATACGTCATCCCTTTTAGGATAAATCGTTTCGATATATTTTTTATTTTTTTTCCCTATCGCTAAGTTTGAAGACATTGGAGAACCTTTTCCTTCTTCTGTTTTTTGATTTTTTTCAGTACGATCTTTATTACTTTCTGTTTCATCATTGCTTTGTCGATCTGACATAATCTTCTCTTTTATTAGTGCATCAGCCTTCTTCTGCTGAGCTATTTTAGCTTTGTAGGCACCACAACGACAGCTACACTGTGGATTCCAAACTGGCTGCGGAAGCAGGATGTCCGGAATCCTAGGACAAGTACACTTTTTAACCGACTTTTTTTCTAATAAATTTTTCACCTTTGGGGTTGGTTCTTCGTTTTCTTTATTAGGCAATCCATCAAACCTCATTTGACCTTTATCTTTATTCATCATTCCATCAAACCTATTATATTCATCTACAATTTCTCTGCTTCTTCTGTAACGTGCACCATCACATTCACGATTCCCTGATTCGCATTCAGATTCACCTACATTAACCTTGTATTTGTTCAACTCTTGGTATTCCGCTTCTGGTTTTTCGAATTTTTTTTTAAAGTTCGCTTCCAGTTTTTCCATCACATCTTGAGGAGGTATAGAGGCTTGGCTTTTCATTTGCAACTCCGAATCCGTCTGAGTATACTTGGTCATTTCTTCCCGTCTCAATTGCGCCTCCAAGTCTTTCGTACAATAAGACAACGGCGGATCTCCAGCTCTTCTGTAACAAGGTGGCCCTTGATGAGGACCGCATCTCGGCAAATCAGGAAGGTTTTCACCGATGTCGAACGGTTTCTGTGGCGGTGGAGGAGGAGGAGGTGGTGGCAATGGTTCGTAAAATGGTGGAAGTGCCGGGAGAGGCTTCGGAAATTCGGGCATATCATCCCATGCTTTCCTCCAAGGAACAGGTTTCGAAATCCTTTCTTCTTGTTGGCCTTGAAAATCTGATTGGTTTAGATCTTGCTCGTACTGATCTGAATACATCGGATTAAGCCTCTTTGACGTGCCACCTTCAGGCTGTTTTGAACTAGGGTCTCCTAAGAGATCCGGTCTTTCATTTTCAAAAGCCGATTTTCCAAAACATGAAAGACGTAAAAAGACTGAAATTTTCCCGGTTTCGTCACCGAATATATTCGATATCGGATACTGATCTTCAATATGAGCTGAAACCGGAAGCACCTTTGTGTTCCCGGCCACCATGATTGCTCTTACGAATGAATCTCCTAAAAGCAATTTTACTTGTCCAATGAGAGTGAAAAATGGTTTATCAGTAGCGTACATTCCACTCCTAGTCACCTGAAGATAAAGCGGTGATTTTCTTAAATTTTGAATAAGTTTATATGGCGTCATAGGGAACAAGAGAGATTTTCCTGAAACATTGAAGCATTCAATCAGTATTATGTGACTGATAGATGTACAAATTAAAGGATTATTTTTCTTAAAACTATGGTTTAATAATTTTTTTTTTATTAAAGAAATTTACAACTGTAATTAATAATAAATACAACAAGTAAATATGAACAAGTAACATGACATGTACAACATGAAGAGAAACTACCCATTGGTAGCACTCCAATTATATTTCTATATTAGAAAGTTCCGGAGGCCATCTTCTTTTCAGACGCCTTTGAGGGTTATCAGGAATAGAAGAGGAAGCAAGGTTGGAAACGAGAGAACGGGTTCGGATGGTTCAGAAGTTTATTACGGAAGGATAGGTATCTGGATTGAGCTAAATCGAAAAAAATATGGTACAATAAGGTCTTTATGGATGATTTTATTTGTGACAATGTAGGAAGTTTTGAGGATATTATGAAGGATTTTGGATTGTTGGGATTGGTTACGACAGGAATTCGATGGATTAGTAGAGCCCCAAAGCTCGATCCCGTAAGTCCAAATAGACCTTATTATAGTAATATATATGAGTCTTTTGTAAATAGTTGGCAGTTTAGAGCGTTTGTCTAGTATGTGCTGGAGTAGTCGGAAACGTCGGGCGGTTTTTAGTCGTTTCAGTCTGGTATGGGGGTTCCAAGTGAGCCGTTTGTCGAGGCGGAGTCATAGGTATCGGATTTGGTCAACAGGGATAAGTGGGGTATTGTTAAAGGATACTGTAAGACAGGAAGTCATAGGTTTACGATGTTTAATAATTTAAAAATTCTAATGCTTTAGGAGCAATAAAAGGTATACAAAATATGCATCTGGAATATCCAGTTGTCATGAAAATTCAATCATATCTGTCCACACTCTTAGACCAGGATAGATCCTTAGTTCTATTTTAGTTGGATTCCGAACCACATCGGCATTGAAGGAGAATTAGCAGCCAGAGAGGTACCCCCGTTATCACGCCCTCAGAAATCGGTAGAGCTCTCAAAATAGAGATATCAGATAGATAGATAAATAGATAGAAAAAAAACTTTATTCTGGGACTAAGTCCCTTCAGAATAATAATAATGTACAAAATAATAGAATATTACTGGCCTGTACGTTTGAAACTATAAATAAAATTGATAAAATAAAATAAAAAGTAAAGAAAACCTTAGGTGCACAAGCTATATACAATACAGATAAAGCTATGTACAGATCATTTAAAATTATGAACAAAACAATTAAAACTATGAACGAATCACTTGAACTATGAACAAAATTATATATAAGGGTTAAACAACATAAACATACACTTTGAGAAATGAAGAACGAAAAAGAGATACAGTGAGTTCATTTTATAAAATAAAATAAAAAAACTTTACTTGAATATATATATATAAAAATAAACAGATAATTATAATTGAATAAAAAAAATAATAAAAATGTATGTATTGAAATTCATACATCGATAGTAGGAAATGCATGTACTATCTCTAGTATCAAGTATTATGATAATATGATTGCTACACAATACATATATAATATTAATAGTTAGCTGGTATCTGACTGATTTTGGAACAGGAATTGGAATAGGAGTTTTTTTAATGTGTATAGGGAAGGGGCATGTCGAATTTTGATCGGAAGGGAATTCCAAAAGTTGACAGAGCGGGCTATAAAGGAATTTTGGAATGAGGCAGATCTATGAGAAGGGATCTATAGGTCAGAGGGTCGGGATCTTGTAGTGAGGGAATGGATTGAGGACTTAAATTGGAGAAGGTTGTAGGCATAAGAAGGGCGATGATCGGTAATAATTTGATAAAGGAAAGTGCCTAGGAAATATTGTCTTCTTAAGGAGGGGAAGAGCCACCCTAACTCAGTGTAGTGGTAGGAGACACGGGAGCGTCTCGGTGTCCCAATTACAAATCTCACGAAGCTATTCATAAGTCTTTTGAGTCTATCACGGAGTTCCACCGAGAGGCCATCGTACACCACACAGCTGAAGTCAAAGTGGGGAAAGATGAGAGAGAAAACTAGGAGTCTACGGGTATTTTGGGCTAGAAGATGGCGGAAGTGATGGAATAGTTTGATAGATGGCAGACCACGTTGATTGAAAGCCCTCGTAATAAGTTGAAAGATAAAGAAAGTGCTAAAACAAATATCTATTACATACGACCGCAGTAGCAGTAGGGATAAAGTCACCCTGGTCTCCGTTGAACATACAGTTGATGAATGTAACCCCTACATTTCTAGTATAAATAAAATAGTCCGTGGTACAGACCCCTTTTTATTAAATTATTAACATCCCGCTGAAACTTCGTAAATATTTTCATCTCATCGTAACCTACAAATGTATTTATGAAAATTCTCGGAATTAGGGCATTTTCAATCTGGAGATCGGCAAACTTTGTCTATTTAATTAGGTACTAAAATCTAGGAAATAATCATTTGCCTTTCACTTTTATCGTAAGATAACTTGAGCAATATGTCGAGAAAAAAGGTGGCTTTCAACAATATTGAGCCGTTTGGCATATAGAATAGAATAGAATAGAAATTTTTATTTGTTTTTGGGGGGTTCCCCATACAAATAGAACCTAGCTTGGCTATTGTAGAATAATATGGTTTTACAAGTTACATACATATCATTTAAATATAAATAAACTTTACATATTTTCCTAATTGGTAATTGGTTGACTGTCGTGGATAATGAAGAGAAGAATAGTTGGGGTTTTCAGTCAAAAAAGGAAGGCAAAAATAAATTATAATATTTATTTTTTACATATGCCGACGTTTCGATCTGAAGTTCAGGCCTTCATCAGGGCTAAGAAAATAACCAGATAACAAGGTATGAGAAACATAAGTAGTGATGGTAAAAAAAATAATAATAAAAAAATAAATGAAATAAAATAAATAAATATAAAGTAAAATGAAATTGTTAGAATAATGACTAAGAACTAAGAGATAAATAATAAAAACTTTACATAGTGTGGAATGATGAAGTAGGCATAATCAAAAAGGGGTGACAAAAGTGTTACATTGGGAATCTTAGAATAAAATGTAAAACATAAAAAAGAAATATAAAGTTATATAAGAAATAAAAATAAATAGTAAAATTAAAACATTTCATTTTACTATTTATTTTCATTTCTTATATAACTTTATATTTCTTTTTTATGTTTTACATTTTATTCTAAGATTCCCAATGTAACACTTTTGTCACCCCTTTTTGATTATGCCTACTTCATCATTCCACACTATGTAAAGTTTTTATTATTTATCTCTTAGTTCTTAGTCATTATTCTAACAATTTCATTTTACTTTATATTTATTTATTTTATTTCATTTATTTTTTTATTATTTTTTTTTTTACTTTTTTATTATCTTTTTTACCATCATTACTTATGTTTCTCATACCTTGTTATCTGGTTATTTTCTTAGCCCTGATGAAGGCCTGAACTTCCGGTCGAAACGTCGGCATATGTAAAAAATAAATATTATAATTTATTTTTACCTTCCTTTTTTGACTGAACACCCCAACTATTCTTCTCTTCATTACATATTTTCCGTTTATAATGGGTTTTACAAAGCATGAAAAACAATAAAAAATAAAAAAAATAAAACGATTACTGCATAATGATAGTTAAACGAACCTGTTACTATGATAGAACAATAAAAAATAAAAATATTTATATATACAAACTAAATATTACTTTTAACATAAACTAAAAACAAACACTTAATATAACATGGGCTATGATCAACAATTTTGTTAATGCACTTTGTGTACTCCCATCATATAATAGTAAACTTTGTTTACTTTATCTATGCAGTCGATATTCAATATAGTTTCGATGTTGTGGTTATCAGAAAATTCTGGGATGAAGTTATGGAGTAATTTTTGTCTATATTCATTGTATGCTGGGCAGTGAAGGAGAATGTGATGTAGACTATTGTAGATAAATTGACTGCATAATATACAAATTTCTTGAGACTCAATCGAAAGAGTTGTGGTTTTTGCATCGATTCTGATTTGTTCTGGATTTGCAACTCTTAATTGACTAACACATCTCAATTTCTTTATATGAACTTTAAATATAAGGTACGCTTCGGGATCCGTTTGACCTGTATAATCTCGTTATTTTGTCAATTTGGAGGGTGTAGGTCATGTCAAACGGCTTGACCACTTTTTTTCTCGACTCAGTGCTCAAATTATCTTACGACACAAGTGAAAAGCAAATGTTTATTTACACATTAGTTATAGTTTTTTTTTAATCTAATTAAATAGACAAACTTTGCCGATTTTCATATTGAACCGAAAATTTTTGTAAATAAAATATCTGTAGGTTACGATGAGATGAAGCTATTTACGAAGTTTCAGCCGGATGTAAATAATTTCATAAAAAGGGGTCTGTATCACGGACTTAGTGTTCAAGACCAAAATCGGTCTTGGTCTTTCACTTTGCAATACCACTGAACTGTTGCAAGACTAAGACCAAAATTGGTAAAAAAAATCGATTTTTTGAATAAAAATTAAGGTAAAATAGTTACTAATACTTGACAATTTAAATTACTATACATAAAGAATTTGTATAGCCAATATACTTTTGCATTTAACTCTTCTAATTTTTCATTCTGGCTTAGTTAGGTTTTTCCTATCTAAAAAATTTAAGTAATACCGCTATAGTAATAAGCTAATAAGTAACTTCAATACTGTTGCGAAATTCTTGTGCAAGACCAAGACTTAGTGCGCAAGACCAAGACGTCTTGGTCTCGCATTTGGGCCACACTACACTGACTAGAACAGGATTGACTCCAAATTAAGTATTTGATGTGTTGCATAAGTATTTGAATTTAGAAAAACACATTAACTTCTTTCTAAATTATTACAATGTTGCCGTATTGTAAAATTTACTATACTAATAAAATAATCTAACATTTTTAATAGTTATTTCATTTGATTACGTAGTTTTCTAAATTTTTATATAGTTTTCTTTAAGTTTTTCTATTTTTT